GATGGGGTGATAAATAGTGAAGAGGATATAGATGGGCTGGTCAGTGGCAAATGGAATTTAATCGGGGTGAATGTGAGATACTGCACTTGGGCAGGACAAACAAGGCAAATGAATATGAACAGTAGGAGCCTGGGAAGTACTGAGAATCGGAGGAATATTGATGTTCATGTATGTTAAGGTATCAGGACAGGTGGATAAAATGGTTAAAAAGGCATATAGTATACAGTCATTCCTGCATATCTGCGAGGGTTCCATTCCTGAGAAACACTCAATTGATGAAATTTACAAGCTTGTATAGAAGTAATTTTAAAAACGGTTAAAATCACAGATATGCAAGTTTGTGATTTCATGGATACTGAGGATTTGCTGACTTGCCTTTTATTGAGGCATCGAGTTTAACAGTAGGGAGGTTATGCTGGAACTGTGTAAAACAGTTAGGCCACAGCTAGAGTACCATGTGCAGTTCTCGAATCTACATTATAGGAGGGATGTGATAGCACTGAAGATGGTGCAGAGGAGATTTACCAGGATGTTGCCTGGGCTGGAGAGTTTCTGATTGAAACAGATGAAGACAGATTGAACAGACTGGGGTTGTTTTCCTTACAGCAGAGAAGATTAAGAGGGGACATGTTTGAGATGTATAAATAATAATATAGATATGATCAATGACCAGTGGGCACAGCTTTAAGGTAAGATGTGATGTAATAGGAAATAAGAGCAAAAACATTTTCATTCAGAGGGTGGTGGGAATCTCGAACTCAGGACCTGCAATGGTGGTAGAGGCAGAAACCCTTACAACATTTAGGAAATATTGAGAAGTGTGCCAAGGCATACAAAGCTATGAGCCGAGTGCTGGAAAACGGGATTAAAATAATTAGGTGGTTGCTTTTGACCAGTGTGGATGGGATAGGCCAACGGGCATTTTTTTGTGCTGTAGATCTCTATGATTCTATGATTTATAACATTATTCATTAAAGGATAGAGGGGTAAACAAAGAATGTATACAGGCTGGTCAGACAAACATCAGTAGAAAGGGATGATAAACCATTGTTGGGGCAAATTAAATTTTCTTCTGGAAATAAATCAATCTATGTCTAAAATAATTGGATTCTTTGAGGTATTAGAGAAAATTGTGCTTCCTTGATCAGTAGATTTTGTGTATATAGACTTCTGGAAGGCACATCTGTAGTGCCTATTTAAAAGATATGAAAGTCCAAGGATTGTTATCTCCAGTGATATTACTAAGGGTCACAGTCATCACTGTTTACAATCCTTATTTATGACTCAGTGTCGGGGGCAGCATTACAAAGTTTGTGGATCATAAAAAAAACTTGATAAAGTAGCTGATTGTGATGAAGATGGATATAGGTGTCAGGATGACTTTGACTAGAAAATGGACAACTAGATGGTAGATGGAGTTCATTATGGAGAAATGTGAAGAAATTAATTTGAGAAGACTGATATGGAAACAGTTTGAAAAGTGTAGATGAGTAAAGAGACCTTGTTCATAAACACAGATATTTATAGTGGCAGGGAAAGTTGATAATGGGGTTAAAATACTTATAAATTACTTAGATGAACATTGACAAAGAGAATATAAAAGCAGAAATTATGCAAGTGCTTTGTAAGGCACTGGTTACATCTCGGCTGGGGTATTTGGGCAATTGCACACATCAGAGGAAAATAGTAAAGGGCTTAGATTTGAGTATGGAGAAGGTTTACCAGGATGAAGGACTTCAGTTATGAAGAGTAGTTAGAATAGTTGGGACTGTTTTCCTTGGAAGTTAAAAGGTGACTTAATAGAACAACACTTCCCAAAGTGGGATAACAAGGTGTGGAGCTGGATGAACTTTTCTGAAGAAGGGTCCGGACCCGAAACGACAGCTTTCCTGCTCCTCGGATGCTGCCTGGCCTGCTGTGTTCATCCAGCTCCACACCTTGTTATCTTAGACTCCAGCATCGGCAGTTCCTACTATCTCCCAAAGTGGGATCATGTGAGCTCCGAGGAAGCAATGACTGTTGTGGCACTCTGACCAAGTGCTAACACTTGCAAGGCTCCTTGAAAATCTCATTTTTAATGGTGGGCTTGATCTAAGTGGCAATTTTTGAGTCCCGATTCTAGTTCCAGAAACCCAATGAAAATGTGGTGCTTCTTATTTAAAACCGAACAGTGTAAACAGCCTATCTGCTCTTGCAGCTGTCTTCTCTGGTATTCCAGGAACTTTCTACACATTGGGATCACACTATTTTCAAGCCTGGAAGAATTCTGAAGAGCAATATATAAGAAGTTTTCATTCTGATGACAGATTTTGATAGAGTGGAGTTTGATGGTTCAATTACTGTAGATTTAGAAACATTGGTGAAAGATCTGGAGGGAAGATGAGACATCTTTTCACTGAGAATTGTCAAAATCTAGAATATTCCACCTCATAAGGTGGGGGATACTGCTCCTATGCGTCATTTTTGAACAGGTATTCATGGACAGAACTTGAGTTCCACAAAACCTAAGGATGTAGGTTTAAGTTTGATTCCTTTTTCAAAGAGCTGTACAGGCAAAGGTAAGTGAATGGCTTCTTTTGGTCCTACAAGTTTCTATGATTCTATAATAGGAACAATAAATGGACTGGAACTATTTCCTAATTATTGCTTTTCTGAAGCCACACTTCTCATCTTCATAAAAAATTAACAGCCCCTATTTCCATACATTTTTAAATAGTCATATAACCTTTCAAATAACTGAGGGAAGATTCATCGGAATCAGTGATCAATAAAATTCAGTGCAATTATTTGAAGGTCTTCCTAGCACATTCTTAAAAAAAAGTGCCCCACATATTTTTAATATGTACATTCAGGATACTTTCATCAAGTTCAGACCCAGTTCGCATCATCCCTGACAACATGTTCAGATGGAAAGACCTCTGGCCATGCTCCTGTAACTTCCAGAGGAACCATATTTTTGATATCTGTCAAACATTTAACAATTGCAATAATGGAGAATCCAAGGTAATTCACCACCCACCGTACATGCGCGTGCGCGCACACGCACACACACACACCCTCCTCAAATCCACCACCATATTGATCTTCATTTCTTAAATACATGTCAAAATTCTTGTCATGGCTTCACCTCACCTTATCACAGAATTTACTCCATGTATCCTCCTTTACTACTGTTCCTCTTACCTGCAGGCATTGTGATCCTGGATTCCACTTTGTTGAAACATTCCACCTTTAATACATCTATCAGCAATCTTCAAAACTTCTGCCTCCAAGCATGCCTTCACATGCTGCTCTTGCTCTAAAGTGTTCAATAAACATTCCTCTCCTTTTTGAAGTGCCCATAGGACATTTATATACATTAACACTGTACATGTCACACATTACGTTCATGTCAGAATGTGAAAATACAAAGAGTAGGGCAATTAGAAGTGATGCATTTGTAGGAAAGTTAGATCAGCATCTAAGGGAAACAGGAATAGAGGATTATTCCAGATGAGGAAGGATGAGACGTGCATAGTGGTCTGTTACTTTGCTGCATATTCAAATACATAAATGCTCGAAGTTGTTTTGATTGTCCTTTCATCATGTTGTAATTGCCTAATATTAATATCCTGGAATAAATAATTTAACTTGGATATATTCAGAGTATAGTTTCATATTCTTCACAATAGAAAATGTTAAACAAAAATATTATTCACAAAAAAAATCATTTCCACCAATATTTCAGTTTAAATGTCAATTTAATACATTCAAAGTAAACTAACACATTGGAAACAATCTGGAACCACGATTGCAGTAAGACAATTTAACACAAACATACAAATGTTGAAACTTGAGGTAGGTCTGGTTGGCAAAACAAAATTTACCATATTTAGGAATCCAAAAAGTAATTAAATTCAGAATTAACATAATGATAAAGCAGCAATTAGATAGAACATCCTATGGAGTTACAAAAATTCATTGCATAATTTAAGCTTCACAGTTAAGTTGTTCATATCCTACAGCTAATCTAAGACTAGTTTTGAATTAACTACTGTTTACATGCAACAAAAAAAAGATTACTCACCTTCAGGTGTAGTACTCATTTTTTTTGAATGAAATTACCCTACACAGACCATTGGGTAAACTATCCAAATCAACAGGGAAAATTAACAGGAAAGTCTTAAAGGGACATTCAGGCTGGAGTGGGACTTTTCCTTCCCACACTATATTAAAGGATACAAATTGGCATTTTCAGCTTTTACTTTATTTTCAATTGAGTTATTTCACATACCATTTCTATTTCAACTGATAGATACAAATGCAACAACTTTAAACATTAAAAAAGCATTTTTTTTCTGGATAGAGTCTACTCAATATACCAGCATACTAGACCTACAATGTGTTATTATTTAAGCCATACTGGAAAGAAGGGTGTTGTAAATTGTACTAGAGATAGAGCCAGTGATTGCAAAAGATCCTGATATATCGTGTTAAGATGTAATGCTGTTTGAAAGATTGTAAGAGAAGGGAAGCAGAACCTGGAAACAGATCCCTGTTGTGATTATTGCCATGGTAATGTTTCTGTCAAAGTCTACTTGTAGCTCTTGGAAAAATATAACTAAACATGAGGCAAAGAGCCTCAAACCAAGGTAACAAAATGATTCTGAAATTTATAAGATTAGCAAGTGTAAAAAAACCCATCTTCTTCTGTCACTGAAGTGTCTTGTATGATTGCAACTTACTCTGTCTCTAACCAAGGATTTTCTTAAGATGGACTTTGTAACAGTTCTTAGAAACCCTACATTGTAGAAGCAGGCCATTAGGTCCATCAAGTCCACACTGATACTCTGAAGAGCATCCCATCAGATCCACCCCACTACCATATCCCTGTAACCCTATATTTCCCAACACTGATTCACCTAGATTGCACATCCCTGGACATTGGGTATATTTGCCATGCTAAATAGCCCATAATCTGCACATCTCTGGACTGTGGCAAGAAACCGGAGCATCTGGAGGAAACACGCACAGACATGGGGAGAATGTGCAAATTCAACAGTTGCCCAAGGGTAGAATTGAACCCAGGTGCTAACCCCTGAGCCACCGTGCCACCCCTATTATGTCAGAATATGACTAACAATTTCTCACTGGCTATATGCTTAGCTTCACTGACCTAGCTTCATTGGCTCTCTTGATATCTATTGAATCTGCTCAAGTTCAAAAGCCTTCTTGTTGAAAAATGCCAGGTGATAGTGATTCCTTGTTTGTGGGGACCATTGCAGTCAGTACTTGACATTTAACGACACTTTCAGCTCTTCCTAACAGCTTCATTTATCACCAGCAATAAATAAATGGACTAGCAATGCTGTCACAATGTTGTCAAAACTAAAACATCAATATGGTAAAGATATTCTTTTGAAATACCAAACTATTAACTGATATTTTAAGTCATCTGGGACGTACAAAATATGAAATTGGAAATCTGCACGGAATTGAATGACATTTCGGGAGCACTCGATATAAATTTTGCATGTAGTAATCAGTACTGAAAACTGGAAGCTACTGATACAGTTAGAGTTTTGTGGAAAGTATTATTGTGCATGAGGAACAACTGTAGTTCCTTTACAGGCTGCTGGGCAAAGCCAACACAATCTCAATGTTTAGATGTTTTCTTAAGTTGGATTGAGGTACAGGAACCAAACTGGATAGAGTTATTGATCAACATATGATTGGTAAAATACAGTTTATAAATAAAATATATTTCTAATTACTTAGTTAAAAATTCTACAAAGTCTTACACCAAAGCATATAGTGGTAAATCAGTGTATTTCAGCCAATTAGCTAGCATGCTTGTCTTCAAAATTAATTTCATCTCCGTAATAACATCACAAAGATTAGATTCATGGTATCACAAGCCAAAAGTTTGAAGTTTTGGATCTGGTTCTATGTTGTCACAAACAGAAACTCAGAAATTCATCCTTAGCTACCAAAGCTTCAACAGGTTGAAGAAGACAACCTGTAGCAAAGTGAATGAGAGGTAAAATGTTCTCTCTCCTGGGGGTTTGGTAGTGGGGGGGTGAAATTCTTTTGTGGCCTCCACACTGCCTCTGTCCCTCCCTGACCTAACAACCATTTTGTGGGGGGATGTACAATGCCTAGACTAGTCCTCCCTTGCCCCTGTAAGGTATTTATGGATATCTAGTGATCACTTAATGGTCTTTTCCAACAAGCTTCAATTCTCAGGCTCGCTGGAAGAATTCGACAGTAACAGAGATGCCTGAAAAGTGATCTTGCTTTGGCCTCAGTTAGGAAGAGGGAGGTACTTCCATCCGTGACCTCTTCAATATTGCATTTCCCACCTACCATCCCCATCTCTATTCAATACTCTCCACCCTCCCTCTTGCCTAACATCTGGGCCTCACATCCCCTGCCAACCCTGAGACCACCATACTTAACTGATTCTGGACTCCAGCACTTAATCCACCGCAACCTCTGCTGCTGAGACTAGTCAGACTGGCTGGAACTTCATATTGACTGAGGGCTAGAAGTACCACCTCCTCCTTGAAATGTCAAATAGCTGTGGGATAATCAGATTCAACTGGTATGAGTTTCCCCCTTGACTCTTTGGGTACCAAGGAATTCCACCATCTACAGATAGCACTGGCTGCTATCATGAAAGGTTACAGATAAAATGTAAACTCACTTTTTTGCAGTATTAATCTGATCTGTTGCACTTCTGCGGTATTTTCTGCTAAAATTCCGAATACCGTTAACTAAATTATGGCACTTAATTGTAAAGCAACTACATGATAACGAGTATGGTCTTTATGCTATCCTTTCAAGGGAGATTTTGTGAAAGATGAAAAAAATTGCATGGACTAATTCCTCCTTTTCTTGTCTAAGAGTTTCTTCTCCAACTGAACATCTTCATTGCAGGCGTTGAAATTGAAAAGTGACAATCCTGTGCCTCATGCTATACTCTTTGGATTTTGAACAGGAGTAGTTGTAGTTTACAGCAAGAATGTAATGTGTTGTTTGAAACTGGAAATGCATTCAAGATCAAAATAAAAGTTAGATCCAACTGAAATAGAAAAAAAAAAACTGTACTACTCAACTGAAGTCTTCCAATGCAGATCGGTGGCAATGATAGTAATACATTCCAATATTTGGGAAAGATTTTCTGTATATTGTGTAGCATTATCAATGTAGTTTATAAAAATATGTTTCACATTCACTACACAAATATACTGGGAAATTATCTGCCAGAAAAATAGCAGAGGCCTGTGTCAGAACATCCTTAGAGGGACTAGAACAGAAAGTTATCACTCCAGCCTGAAACTTGAATTTCCACTTATTTTTCCAATTGGCCTGTCTAACTTGTACACTGTACGTTAAGAGTACAACAAATGCAGAAGAATTTATATTATGCACTACAAATTTAAAGGTGAATTTACAATGGTGTTCCAACTAACACAGCATACATTCAATGATAAAATGCACAAAGGTCAGTGACAAGACTGGGTGCTATACCATGACCGTTTGCAAAGCACAGCAAAATATACTGTTTTCATGATAACTGGAGGTTAGGTTAAGAAGGACAAGATATAATTCAAACAATACCTATTGCGAGTGTACAAATAAACCAAGTACTTAGAATGGAGAAGTGTAAAATTCATTTAGTGACTTCTACTCTCAGCCCATAGAAAGCAAATTGTAACAATATGTCCTGCCAGTGAAATTTGAACTTCACCAATACATTCATGTAATACAAAGGTACCTGAGATCTCTGACAATAAGACTTACCCTTATGTTGCCATAATCCATCTCCCAACACCAATATCATGGATCCTTTAAAATCCATAACCCTCCTAAGGCAGATATCTTTTGTATAAAGCTCACATAACACTGAGTTGATATAACAGTTGAAAAAGTTCTGTAATTATTTCAGACAAGAAATTGTGTACAGTGCAAAGGGAGAGAGAACTACAGTGAAATAAAAGATAGGTGTTCATTTGTAATTGGAAATATTTACAATAATGAGTTTTCTTTATAAGTTCTCTCATTAATAACAATCATTCTTTTTTCCTCTCAACTGCAATCTCCATGTCCACCTCAGCTATCAGTGGACATGCATATTGCTGTTGGTAGGGCTAATGATCAGTGCACATGTATATTGCTGCTGGCAGGGCTAATGTCTGTATGGTCTGAAGTTAACAATGTACAGACACTTTCCAATTATAATATGAAAATGTGTTGATTTTTCTCTCAATGTCAATTTGGAACGTTTTTATTTTTGTTTGTGTGTCAATAGTCATATTTAACATTTCTCAGTACAAGCGTAGATGATCAATTTTATGGGGGCATTATTAATTTCAAAGTTTCATACAATTGTTTTTATGTTTTCCACATTATTGATATTATCACTGTATCTCTTGTATGAAGTATAGAAGGTCTCCAGCTGACATGACTGCTGTATCATTTACCAAAAACAGTTGACATTTAATGGCATTGCACAGTGATAATGTGGATGAAATACAACTAAATTAATGTTTACTTTCATTTATATCCTGCAGAGCATCTCTTAAAAACAATGAAAATATTAAAAATGACACATTACAGTCAACACAGGAGGGAACAATAAGATGTGTGATACTAGTGCACATTTACTCTTTTCATGTGTTGTACAAAAAAGAAACTGAAAAGCACAATGCCTCCATCCTCTTAACAGCATTTAACATTTAAAATAGAAAAGATGTAGATTTTCAATATGTCAAGGCTGCACATTCAACCTACCAAAAGCTAATTCAATGCATTATTGATAGCAATTTGCGTGAAATTAGAAATCAATGAAAACAATGCTGCAACTAAGTGTAAGTGTAAGCAAAAGCATACAACCACCTGTGCAATATATAAAAAAGTACTGTTGGGGAGGCTATACAAGAAAGCATGAAGACAATTTAGTTAAACGAAATTACAGATTAACCAAGACCTGCATTGCATGCAGTCAGAAATGTTTCTAATCCAGATGCCATTAAAATTTATAGCAACATCCACATCATATAATCAAATCTTGCAATTTCCCTACTAATGCATTTAGATTGAAATGTTCAACAAATACGTGGGCTTTCTAAAAAAGTACTTAAGGGTGAAGTATTACAGCAAATAAGTATGAAATCATATACAGCAAAAATTGAGAGAACAATTAGCATGATTATGAGTGACTCCTCTCCATTGTCACCTGAATTTAAACCCCTGAGCTTAACTGTAAATATGTACAGTCAAAATGGTGACGTTGAGAATCTTCAACATACAGTCTTCAATTCCTTTCACTCCACAGCTTTGGTTTCATTCCTTTCAAATGAAGTATTTCTATTAAGAGTTGTTCATTCTGCTTTGATCCAGGTCTACTTGCAATATATTTTAAAATGAGTAGCTCTGGTCAAACCTATGATGGACATATACACATTCTGCAGCTAATGCTGCCTTTTTCTGCCATGTTGAATAGGTCAATGTACCAAGTCGTATGTAAAGTTGTTTTTCTCACAAATCACACAATTAACTTTTTCTGGAGTTACTGACGTCAGAACATAGTCCTCTCTTATCTCTGAGCACTATGTTTCTGTTCTTATATAATCGTTTGTTAAAGTGACCATTGTCAGACTACCAACAATATTGATACGCTTTTTCTACACAATTGTGCCGCATTACCCTTCCATGGAATTGTAAATTGTGCTTTATCAAACTGTTATTAGTGCCACCTATCACCCGCAATTATTGTTTCTTGCCATCTGAAGTAAATTTAAATATGCCGTCCGGTAAGAAAATAAAGTGGCTTATCATCACTGCTGCTGGCTGTCTGGAACTCATCACGCAGCCGGAACTGCCATTCATCTTCCAACTCCAGGCGTACAATAGTTTGACGTAACGAACTTCGGTCTTGACAAATCATGCAAAGTGTGGCACCTTTAATTGCAAAGCAAGTGATACTAACTTAGGATTTCACCAAAAGAGAGATTTTTCAAAGTTTATCTTCTAGATTAGTTAAATTCACTAAAGCTGAAGTGTTCCCCCTTACCCTACATAATAAGAGCTAGATGTCTGCTGCTTCTAATAATTGCATTCTGTCAGCCATTTGAAGACATTTTTAACCACAGTGCAGTCATATTTTAGGGAGCCGAATAGTAATGGACATAATAAATCCCATTGGTTAATTGTACACTTTAGGCAGCAGCTGAAGTGAAATGATGCTCTCTCCCAGCAAGAAATGGACTAAGATTCAAGACAGAGAAGATAATGTCTTACAGCTTGAAGAGGTTAGACCATGGAGGACAAATCGCATGATACTCCTCAGGGAGGAGCATGGAACATCTAGACAGAAACCAACAGCAGGCTTTCCACATTCAAAATATTCTATTCAGAAGTAAATAACCTTTCAGTATTCATCAAAATTTGGAAGTAAAATTCCTCATGGCAAAATTGTTACTTTGCACTCGATAGGTTAGATGAACCTGTGAACCCTGTCAATTTCATTGGAAGATTATCTGGTAAGGGGTGATCTAAGTATTGTTTCCACAGAATGCTGCCTCTGAACATTCTGAATGAGAACTAAGAGTAACTCATCAATTAAAGGCAAACAAATGTAAACATCAAACAATCTCCTTTCCTGGCCATCCTTTATTTGCTAAATCAGAAAATGTATATAAAAAAAAAACTGACGTTCCATTACCTTTAAGAAATGTGAATTTCTTGAGAAAATCGGCAACAACGAATGAGTCACAGAGGTAGAGTAGAAGTCCACTGAACAAAACTTCCTCAAATTTTATGTTAACTGAGTGAGGTCGTGAACTTACATAACACACAGAAATCTATGAATTGGAAAGAACAGAAATGTTAATCACAGAAGTGCTGTGTGTTAAAGGAATATCTGTTTCTTTCTTATTACACACAATCACAAATAATAAACAGCACACTACCAGGTCATTGAATCCAACCATTCCAAGCTGGTTTTAATCATTTTTATCCTTTCCTTTAGCCTCTGTCTTCATTTAATTCTATCAGCAGAACCTTCTTTACTCCTTCATGTTTGTTTAGCCACCTCCTTATATACATGGGTACTATTCGATCTCTTTTTGTCTGAAAAGACTCCTCAATTCCCTATTTAATTTCTTAGTGACTGTCTTATATTGATGACAATCCTCACAATCTGGAAACAATCTTTGGACAGGATTTTGACGCCCCACTGAGGTTGGGTATGATGGGATATGGACCCAGAAAATGCTGGTGGTGGACAATGTACTGTTTTCCCAACACTTCCCTTTTTGAGGGAAAAAAGGTTACATTAATTGCTAATGACCTACAGAGCCCCTCAACTGATAAATCAGTACTCCAGTACTGCTTCATGTTGACTGCCAGTTGGAAGAAGCAAGGAGGGTGGAAAGGTCACAGAATATTTTCTAGGTGGGGACTTCAATATTCATTACCAACAGTGGCTTGGTAGCACCACTATTAACAGAGCTAACCGAGTTCTGAAGGAGATAGCTGCTAAAAGGTTCCTGTGGCTGTTGATGAGGCAACCAACAAGAGGTAATAATCTACTCAATGCCATCTTCTCCAATCTACCTGTCTTAGATGTATCGGTATGTGACAGTATTGGAAGCTGTGACCAGTTCACAGTCTTAGCAGAGATGAAGTTCTGTCTTCAAATTCAGGGTACCCTCCATTATGTTGTATGGCACCACCACGTGCTAAATGAACTAAATTTCAAAGATATCTAGCTATTCAAGTCTGGAAATATAGACCATCAACAGTAACAGAATTGCATTTAGTTACAATCTGTAACCTCATGGCCTGGCATATCTCCTACTCTATCATTACAATCAGATGCAGTATCAACCTTAGTTCAATGAAGAGCAAAGGACGATATGCCAGGAGCAGCACTGCGCGTACTTAAAAATGAATTGTCAGTCAACTTGGCAGAGTTCTCACATAGATCCACATATTTATCAAACAGTAGACAGATGTTGGCCTGGCCAGTAGTGCCACATTCTGTTAAATCATTGTTAAAATGGCAGTCAAAAGTCATCAACTGTGATTTTCTATGTTGCTGTCACAAATGGAAGCAGACCATCTGCCTGAATTAGGGCAGTAACCTGAAGCTGAACATCAGCAGACTGGGATATAACAACTCCAGGCAGACCCACAAGCCTTCCTTGGTTGCAGCCAAAGTCACCTTGTTTGGACAATTCTTCCACTCAACATTCATGGACTGGTTGCTTTTCCAGCTTTTAATTACATTTTATAATGGTGGTGAGAGGGCAACTTTTATGGTGAAGCTCAGTTAATTGCAGCCAGCTACTTCTCTGAAGCTGGAAGGACTCTGAATGGCCCTCAAGCTTCAAGAACTTGCCTGCCATCCTTAATCTATTAGGGAACCTATTTCCAAGGAGAATGTTTCCATGCCAATGGAAAAGGTGGTCCAAGTAAAGTCTAAGTAGTAGCAATTCTTCACTCAACAAGGCTGGATTCCAAAAGCGAAAACTCTACGCTCTGTATCTGTCTTATTAAAACCTTTAATAATTTTATAGACGTCTATTCAGTCACTCTAAAGCCTCTTTCAAAGGTCAAAGGACCCAAGTTAGTCAGCTTTTCCTCTTGGTATAAGCTTGTAGTAGTGGTACCATCCTGTAAATATTTTTGCATCTCTCCAGTTTCTTTTCATAATTCCTCTATAACCTCTTAGCGATCTGGTAACCAGAATTATACACAATACTACAGGTATGGTCTGAATGAGATCTGATACAACTTTAGCATAACTTCTCTACTGGTCAATTCTATTCCACCAGAAATAACCTCTAGTGCTTGGTTTAAGCCAAACTATTTAATTGAGCTATCTTTACACCAACTTCCTTAAGTTAGAGTCTCTTAAGATACTAAATATTCCACTGTAAAACAGATTTAATGCTTGTGTTTGCAGCAACACTGCTGTAATGCTGGAGAGTGGAGAGTAAGTATTGAAGTTAGGTGCAATTGGAAAGCAGCTAAACAGTGGTTTGAAAATGTATATTAATAAGTTATACAAGCAAGTGATCAAATGATTTGTTCAAAAAAAGTAGGAGAAACTTGTCTGCTTCCCTTTACAGTATTTCAGTATTGCTGAAAAAAGGCATACTTTGTCAAAGCTTTTCATTTTGCACTCATCAGGAGAATTCGTGAGAATACCAATAAAAGGGAAGACCACCATCCTATACTGTATGAAGGGAGAATACTGATTGGCTGACTAGTGGACCCTTGATTAGTAGAGGCGTTTTCATGGAAAATGCAGCAGTTAGTGATGATAGACTGTTAACTGCAGGCTTTGCCTAGATTTCAAATCTGACGGATTAACTTGATTCATCAGGGCACTGACAGGGAACCAGCAAATGGCTGTGATATATTTTGTTGAGTTGAAACGGGCACAGTGTGTTCATATGTTCTTTTTATTTATGAGTAACAAGGCCCCATGAATTAACAAGGTAACTTCAAGTATAAGCAGGTGCACCACACAGCAAGTCCAACTGACAATCCTAAATCAACTGTCAGCCTAATTCTTTGCTCATTCAGGATTCTACAGCAAAATAATTAATTATTTGTCAAATTGCAGAGTCACATCTAATGTTGATCACTATGTTGTGAGTTTTGCAGGCGCAGACTGGTTGGGTATAGTCAGTACCTTGCCAGCTGCAAACAGCCAAAGAACTATGCTGTTTGATATGATCTGCCAGTCTTTCGGAAATATGGTCGACATACATAGCATCACATTGGCACTGAAATTCATATACCACACCACTTATTTGTGTGTTGGCCAGAATGTCGTTTTAGCTTGATGGCTGCATCCTGATAACGATAAATATTCATATTGCTATTGCACAGCAGCAGTGCGAAACAGCTTGCTTCACCTGTTCCTCAAACTTTGATATACCTTATCTGAAGTAGTCTGGGCACTTTTCAGGACCAAAAGCGATCAATTTAAAGTGCTCCATGAGTTTACATGATATACAGCAAGAGATGATCTGATCTGGGCTGCCATTATCATGCAGGATGCCTCTGCAGGATACCCTATTTAAGCATAAGGTTTGCATGATGAACAAATGCCTCGGACAATATTTATGAGGTTGCTAAATAGACCAATACTATTATGCATGGAACTGTAGGAATCCCAATGTGTATATTGACAAGTAAAGGGAGTTTCAAAGTAGACATTGCTAGATAACCCCCTGCCCAATTTCTCAACTAGGACATCAAAGAAAGGTAGTTCATTTGACTTTTCCAACACATGAAGCAAGCTGTTTCATACTACAACTACGCAGTAGTGAATGGTGTTCACCACTAATAGGATGTGGCTATCAAGTAAGAAGGATTGCTGCCTATCACACAAATGTGATATACGAGTTTCGGTACGGCTGTGATGTAGGCCATAACCCTGAAGATTGGTGGATCATACGTAACAGTATTTCCCTTTGGATGTTCACAACAAGCAAGGTTCCTGACTATACCCAACCAGTTTGCATGTGAAGGACATTATTCAATAACAGACGAGACTTTGCAATGGATAATATTTGGATAACTCATATTTGCATAATTTCATTCAGAAGTTACATGATAATCAATTTAGTCCTGTCAATTGGGTTTGTAGTGTACAGCACTTGTGTGTACTGAAAGCTATCTTTATTAATACACAGGGTTCTATTCTTTACAGACAGAAAGAACATGGGTATACAATGTGCCTGTTTAACCCAACAAACTAGATGACAGACATTTGCTGGTTCATTTCCCTGGGCAATGAACTGACCAATCAAAGTCAACCTGCCTGGTTTAAAGTCTAAAAAGGCCTGGAAGTTAACAGTCAAACTTTTGTATTCTCCAAGGCAATACTTCTACCACTTGCCAATTTATAAGCACTCTCCTCTAATTATTAAGTATTAATATTGGCTTTCCCTTTTATTGGTATTCTTGAGACTTGTTTTGATGCATGTTAAGATGAACTGCTTTGACAAAAAGTGTCTTTTTTCAGCAAAGCTCAAGTTCTGTACCATTAAAAGACCATTAAACTTGGTTTAATTAATTAATGTTAATACTATTTATTAGGTTGATGTTATTAAATAATTAAATCTTCAATATCTAGGAATTAACTTGTTAATGCAATGCTAAGCTATTTGATAATGATGACCAGATTGATCAACTGTATGAGATTTAGAATCCCTACAGTGTGGAAACAGGCCCTTCGGCCCAACAAGTCCACACCAAACCTCAGTGTATCCCACCCAGACCCATCCCCCTATAACCCACCTAAGCTACACATCCCTGAACACTATGGGCAATTTAGCATGGCCAATCCACCTAACCTGCACATCTTTAGACTGTGGGAGGAAACCGGAGCACCCGGAGGAAACCCACGCAGACACGGGGAGAATGTGCAAACTCCACACAGACAGACACCCGAGGCTAGAATCGAACCTGGGTCCCTGGTGCTGTGAGGCAGCAGTGCTAACCACTGTGCCACCGTGCCGTGTTCTGTCTCTTGCCTTTAATGACAAAAACTACACCTATGAATACATATGTAAAATATATATGGTGGAATGTGCTTCTCACATTCAGGCTTATTGCATGGTTAACACCAGTTTATGGCAGTAATATATTTAAGCAAACGCTCACCTCAGGACCCAGATTCATGTAGCAATCAATAGCTAACACAGGGTTGTTGCTGTTGTGTACAGCTTTAGGAAAGAGTTTGTAACTGGCATGTTGTAGAAACTTTTCCAGGAGAAACTGGGCTGGAGCAGCTAGCATTGTGCTTTCACTATCTGGAGCACAGACATACTGAGAGGCAGAAATCATATTGAGGCTTTCAGATACCTGTCACACGAAGAAAAGATAGCTGTTAGGAAGGAAACTTAATTGCTTCTAGGTCACTAGTGATTAGTCCAACATTCTGCGATTGTTTCTTCCTTCATATATTACAGCACAATGCAACCTTTGGAATCTAACTACTTAATCCTTACACAAATAAATAAATCAGTAAAATATGTAGAGATTTTAAAAGCAATAAACAATTATTTCTAATGGCAAACTGGGAAAACATGGAAACAGTTCATTAACTGATAATGCAGCATTTGGGTTTTAAAAGTTTATACAACTAATTAGAATCATCCATACATTACAATAAGTATTCTCAGGGACCTTGATAAAAGGTTTGGCTGAAGTGTAAGTTTTACTGCATGGCTAATGAAAACTCAGAATATGTGCACCTTTCAGACTTACCTTTAAATTTATTCAGCTATTGTTGAGGAAAAAGACGGAAGATTTAAATGGCTTCATTATTCTTCACTGTAGCCTGAACCTTGCATTGGCTTTGTTAGTACAAAGAGACCCAAGGAATTAGAATCACATTACTTAAAAGGCTCCAGCTCCGACTGTAAGGGAACAGTCATTTAAAGAGAATTGCCTCCTAATGGGGGAGGATAACACAAAATCTTCTCTGACTGATAGGAAAATTGAAATTAAATTGTTAGCTAGAATTTCAAGTCAAGAGAGGAAAGTAGTGATGCAAAATGAAAATGGCAGTGAAACAAATAAGAATGTGTAAAATGGATTTAAGTAGAAATGGCAATACCTAGTAAATGGTCATGACCTCTCTGCATTGAGAGATTTCTGCTGTTTGCATTTAGCAAGCGGAGGTAACTTTTCTGGATGATTGGTCATTAGATATGTCAAAGTTTGCAGAATAGTTAGGATCTGATCTCCCTTTTTTTATGCATTAACCTGAGGAGATTTGTATAAATTTATATTCACGAACAACAAAGTGGGGAATGCTCAAATCCAAATAACATCCTTATAGCTGAAAGGAAGTAAGAAGATATTCAAACATCATTGGATTCAATTCTAGGTTCCACTGATGGATCAAAATGCACTAGCTAACCCACTCCATCTCACTGTGCTCTGTATAGAAAAATAAATCCAACAGCTCTAAAAATATAACACTGTTCATAACCTTGTGCCAATACTTGAGCTCTTTTTGGAGTTTATGAATAACAAGGAAACAACTGTGGACTCCCAGCCTTACCCACTGCTACTCTTGAGAAGTATTACAATAAGCCAAAAGTAACAAGCCTTCTCTAGTTTCTAGGAAGAATTCAAATATGGTAGAAGGGAAATGTGCAGAGAATGTTTAATAACAGCTAGTTGTTAGTAATAACTAGTAATAGATTATTGGAGTTCTTTCTTTTCACAATGATTATCGATGATAATAATTATAAGATCTCAGCAAACAGAATCAAAACCTTGTCTGAATTATGTTTTGGTCAACCCAATATGGTTTATAGTGAAAATTGATCAACATACAAAATTACTCAGAACTCCATTAGGTTGCTGATGGATAATGAGAGGTGTCATATGGATGTCTCTTATAGAAATGGGAAAATGGTGCTGGGTCAGGGAATTCAATCGTAAAAATTATAAAGTTTCAGATTACCTTTAATCTCCCATTCATCGTTAAAACAACAACTTGCACTTATATTGTACACCATTTAAGTAGTTAGACATCCTAAGGGGCTTGATTACAATGGAACAAAATAAAAACCAAAAGAACTGCAGATGCTGTAAATCAGGAAGAAAAACAGAAGTTGCTGGAAAAGCTCAGCAGGTCTGGCAGCATCTGTGGAGACAAATTTGCCTTTCACACATTTTCAACATTTCCTTCAACTTTTGATGACATTTACTGGCTGTTCACTTTAACTTCGTGCAAGAGTATCAAAGTCAAGTTTAACATATTTGTGTTGAGCATCAAGCCCTTGTTCATAAAATTTACTATCAGAGGCTACTACTTACCATAATCTTGGGTTTGATGACAAAATCTTTATGCCCTCCAACCTGGATGTATTTCTTCATGAGACTAAAGTGATTAAATCGACAAATAAGTAAACCACTGCTGTTTGCCCGTAGGTTGAAGTCAATGTCTTCACAGGTATACCTGTTAGAAACAAAGAAGCCATTTACAGTGAAAGTCTCTTTGTACAAGGATACAAGTTGAGCTACAGAGTTCTGAATAATCAATCCCCTTCTCCAAGGGAATTAGAATTTCAAATACCAGGATGGCAAACTTATTTTATTTATTTCTACTCTGACTGCCTGTGGCATTCTTTTCTTCCTTTACAGGATGTCTTCATTGCTGGGTAGGCCAGTGTTTACTGCCCATCCTAATTGCTTGAGAGGTGGTGATGAGCCACTTTTTTGACTGCTGCAGCACTGGAGCGTTAGATACACCCACAGCGCTGTCAGAAAGGGCATTCCAGGAATTTTCCCGAACCACAGTGAAGGAACATTTATATAGTTCCAAGATAGGATGGTTTTTGGCTTTGAGGGAACTTGTAGTGGTGGTGTTCCCACACATCCGAAGAAGCATTCTGAAAAAGGTTCACTGAACCCAAAATGTTAACTGTGCTTTCTCTCCACAGGTGCTGAGTTTTCACAGCAATTGATATTTTTAGTTCCATACATTTGTGGCTCTGTCCTTACTGGTGGAGGTTTACTTTGGTTTGGAAAGTGCTCAGTTGGAGGTGCCTTGGTGAGTTACTGCAGTGAATTCATAGATGGCAAACAGTGCTGTCTCTGTGCATTGGTGATCGAAGGAGAGAATGTAGAAAGTGTTGATTGGTATGCCAATCAAGCAGGCTACTTTGTGCTAGGCATCTTCAGCTACTGAAGCCAAATCCATCCAAACAAATGGAGAGTATGCCATTACTTTCCTGATTTGTGTTAGTAGGTGGTGGACAGGAACTGAAGGAGACTAGGAGCTGAGTTACTTGCCACAGAATTCCTAGCTGTAGTATTGTGCTAGTCCAGCTCTGGTTAATGATAGCCCCCCAGAATATTGATAGTAGATGGTTCAGCTGTGGCAATGCTTTTGAACATCCAGGGATGATAGCTAGATTTTCTCTTGTTGGAGATAATCATTAGAGTCATAGAAGTCTGCAGCACAGAAAAAAGCCTTTTGGCCCATCAAGTCTGTGCTGGTGAAAAACAACCACTTAACTGGTCTAATCACATTTTCTAACAATTGACACATAGCCTGTATGCTTCGGTATCAAAAGTATCTATCCCATTTACAGGCAGTGAAGTCCAGATTCTTACCGCTTTCTGGTTGAAAAAGTGTTTCCTCACATTTCGTCTTACATCACATTTTACCTTAATGCTATGCCCACTAGTCATTGATCCCTCCATCAAGGGGAAACATTTATTCTTGTCTATGTCCCTCATAATTTTATACATCTCAATCATGCTGTCCCTCAGTCTCCTCTGCTCAAGGGAAAATAACCTCAGTCTATCCAATTTCTCCTCATAACTAAAACTCTCCAATCCATATCTTAGGAAGGATATATTGGCCCTGGAAGGAGTACAACATAAGTTTACAAGAGCAATACCTGGACTTAAACGAGAGAGATTATACAAATTAGGCTTTTTTCTCTAGAATTTAGAAGATCTGATCGAAGGTTTCAAGGTATTAACAGGAAAACAAAGGGTTTCCATTAGTTGGGGATTCTAGAACTACGGGCTCAGTCTCAGAATTAGGGCCAGACCATTCAGGAGAGACGTTAGGGAACACTTCTATACGCACAGGGTGGTGAGTGTTTGCAACTCTCTTCTACAAATGTTTGTGTATGCAGGATCAGTGTTATTTTTAAATCTGAGATAGATAAGTTTTGTTAAGCAGAAGTATTAAGGGATAAGAGCCAAGGCAGGTATATGGAGTTAGGCCACAGATCAGCCATGATCTCAGTAAATGGTGGAACAGGCTCAAGGGTCCATTCCTTCCTGTGTTCCTTAATCTCCTGTGCACACTCCCTGGTGCAAGCATAGACCTCCAATAATGTGGATTCCACAAGTGCATTCATTACTCTAGCTGTAGTCAAACCAATTTTTTTTTATCATAAACATAAGTATTCCATATGTCTTCTTAACTGCTTTATCTACTTGGCCTTAAGAGATCAGAGTAGATGCACACCAAGGTCCCTCTCATTATTTCCCAGGGTCCCTTGCCTTTTTTTGTCCAGTCCAAGTGCATCACTTATCTGGAGTAAATTCCATTTGCCACTGATCAGCCCATCTATGTCCTCCTATAATCTAAAGCTATCCTCCTCATTATTTACCACCCCACCAATTTTTATATCATCTGAAAACTTACTGATCAACTCTCCTACATTCAAGTCTAAATCATTTTTATATATATATATATACATATCAAAAACAGCAATGGCCCCATTGATCCCTGCATAACCCCACTGAACACAGGCTTGCATTCACCAAACATCCTTCAAGCATCACCCTCTGCTTACTACCATTCAGTCATTCTGGATCCAATTAGCCAAATTTGCTTGGATCCCATGGACTCTTCCCTTCGCTATGTGTCTCCCATGCAGGACCGAATCAAAAACCATGCTGAAGTCCAAGTAGATGACAACAAATGCATTGCCCTTGTCCACACACCTGGTCACCTCTTTGAAAATTTCAATCAAGTTGGTCAGACAGAACGTTCTATTAACAAAACCGTGCTGACTGTTCTTGATTAAGTCCTGCCTGTCCAAGTGCAGATTAATTCTATCCCTCAGAATTGCTTTCAATAGTTTCCCCAGCACTGAGGTTAGACTGATTGGCCTGTAGTTTCCTGGTTTAACCCATGCAGTCTTCTTGATTAACACTGGCACCTCTCCTATGGTCAGAGAAGAATTGAGAATTATTGACAAAGTCCTTGCCACTTCCTCTCTTGCCTCACTCAAAAGCCTGGAATACATTTCATCTGGCCCGTGAGACATACCTACTTTTAAGTCTGACAGACCACTCAGAATCTCCTATCTATGCTAATTTCTTTAATCATATCAAGTCTTTCTCCTTGATGTCTATACCCATATCAACCCTCTCACTGGTGAAAACCGACACAAAATATTCATTTAGAACTCTATCAATGTCCTCCGGTTCCATGCACAAATTATCAGTGTAGTCCTTCATGGGTTCTACTTTTTCCCTAGTTCTCCTTTTACCTTTAATAACTTAAGACTTTCCTTTATTTTACCTGCCATTATCCTTTCATGCTCCCAATTTGCTCTCCTAATTTCCCTTTTTAAGTTCCCCTTTGCACATTCTATAGTCCACTAGGGATTCTGCTGTTTTGAGTCCTGGATAGCTGGCATAAGCCTCCTTCTTTCACTTTATCCAATCTTGAACATCCCTCAATATCCAGGGTTCGCTAGATTTGTTGGTCCCACCCTTTCTGCTTTGGGACATGTTGACCCTGTACTCTCCCTATTTCCTTTTTAAATGCATACCTCTGTTCTAACACAAATTCACCTCCACGTATCTGCTCCCAATTCACTCTGGTGAAATCATATCTGGCCTTATTAAAATTGGCCTTCCCAGTGAAAGAAGAGACTCAATCTAAGGATTATGTCTTTTGGGAATTTGTGAGCTCAGTCATTAGTGGTCATAAGAACATAAGAAATAGAAGTATGTGTAGGTCATTCAGCCCTTGAACCTAGCCTACAAGTATGTAATATCATGGTTGTTCTACTCCAGGGCTTGACTTCTCTTTTGTGTCAGCTTATCAGAACAACTCTCGATATTTCAAAAATCTACCTACCTCTTTACCAAATACTTTAGAGATGGACACTGAAGACTGTCACCCAATGTCCATACCACCCTCATTACTTCCTCCAAGTAATATTCAACATGGAGGAGTACTGATTCATTAGCTGAGATAGGGGCGGTATGTGGTAATCAGCAAGAGGTTTCTTTGCTCATATTTGACCTGATGCCATGAGACCACATGGATCCCACTCAATATTCCTTCTAATTGTATCCTATTGTGTCTCTATCTGAGGTGGGATGGTGATGGACATTGTATGTAGGTATCATTCCATTAGTATGACTATGTCAGACTGTTACTTGACTAGTCTGTGGCATAACTCTCCCAATTTTGTCACTAGTTTCCAAACGTTAGGGGGAGTTTGCAGAGTCAACAGGCTGGGTTTGGTCATCATCAATTCCAGTTCCTACCCTGATGCTGAATGGTCTGTCCAATTTTATTCCTTTTCTTAGACATTGTAGAGGACTAATACAAACGAAAAAGTTACTTGGCCACTCCTGTCAGCAATTAAGAGTCAACCATATTGCTTCGCGTCTTGAGTCACATACAGACAAGCTGAGGCAAGGAAGGCAGATGCCCTTCCCTTGAAGAAGGTAAGTGAATCATTAGTGATGTAATAAGAACTCATGTTGCCAGAGCACTGGCTTGGGCATCTGAATTACTAGTCTAATGATATTACCACTATGCCCCTGGCTCCCATATTGATACTATGTATGACTCTGTTTGACTTTTCTAAGACTGTAAGAGAAGCAAATGTTTGAATAAAGATTTTCAAAAGATGTTTTCTTACTTTGTCAGTTTCAGGAGCATTTGAAGGTATTGACAGACTTTTCAATCCTGTACATAATGACTACTGCAACAGTACATATGGAGGAATCATCAGGCCATGGAAGGAATATTGGGTGGTGTAGGGAGTATGAAGGAAAGGATCTCAAGAGGCCATGAGGATATGAGGGAGGACAATGAGGGTTATCTACCATGAGGAAGACTGGGATGATTTTTCAGCAAAGCAAGGGAGGTCTACTAACCAATCCACTTTGTCCCCACGTACTTTGGTGCTCAGGACTGAAACAATTGCTTTCAGTATCTATTGGAGTCCTTTTGTAAATAAACAGATCAGGTTCTGATGATGTCTGCTGAACTACTATTTTAACTAGAAGCTTGATGAGGAAAATCATTATGAAAAACTTAGCAAAGGCTTTTGCCACCATCCCAAAACTTCATCCCACAACGTAGAGAAGTGACAGGAATGCCTTTTGTCAGTCTTTGTCACTGATCTCTTGCCACTTAAAAATTCACTCACGGCAAACGGGTAACTGGCTGGAGGCAGGCAGATTAAACCTGGGACTTAAAATAAGTTATGCTCCCAGTTCAGGAAAGTTTGCTGCTCATTTCCATCCTTGCCAACATAATTCTTGACAAAGTCAAATTCAGACCAAAAGCAAGAGTTAGAATAAAATCTGCTCTTGAATGAACCTGTCTCCGCAGCCTCAGAATGTGATAGTTACAGGACAAAAATTTTGTAAGAATTTTTTTAGGCCCAATTACTACAGTTACTTAAATGCTTTACACAAATTATAGTCCGGAGTCACTGGAGAACAAATGTGATCAATTCTGTAGTTCTTTCGTGAGATGGCTGCCAAACTCAAAGCCTCACCACTTCCTTCCATCAAACACATCTCAAAGCAATTATCAACTATGTAATTTGAAACAATTAACTGAATTAAGATGTACACTGACAAGACTTAGAAGTCCAATGCCAAACCTCATCTACACAAGTCACAAACTATAATGGCTGTTCATTGTACCTTGATAACACAAAAACACTAATCTCATAACCAATTTTATTTTTTGTTGCTCTCTCAATTTTTGTATTTTGCTTGGAAAGATGATTTATTGTAAAACTAACCTCGTTTGAACCTTAGCTTCAACAGAAATTGATTTAAAAAAATATAAACATTCGATAAAATTCCACAAGTTCATTGAAACTTACCTGTTTAGATCATACTGTACATTCTGTGTCAGATCAACATTCAACAGTATAAAGTCATGTATGTGACAACGAGAGAATGGCATCCTCAGTTTGCTAGCATTTAGCTTGCTGTTCCATTTTTGAATTCCACAGAGTGCATAATGAGTAATCTTTGGTGTGGCCTCAATGTGCAGCATTACAGTCTTCAAGGAAACATTCTTTGTGGAAACTGTGGGTTCCTTTGTTTCACTGTTTAAAAAAATACAGTTGGTCAAAAACTTGTACACAGTCATTTCATTTCGCATGTCAACTTTCCTAACACCACAGCAGTTTATAACAATAAAATCACCTAAGCTTCACCTGATTGCTGTCTATGAAAACTTAGTATTCTGAAAATGGCTGCAGCATTTGTCTATATAATAATGACTGCATTTCAAAATAATTCAGGTTTAAATTTGATTTAGATGTTTCAGAGAGAAGCAAGAAGGTGCTTATATGTAAATCCTCTAATTGTTTTTGGACTCTATGTGTGGGATTTAATGCCCTCTTTAGAGGTGAGCTTGGAGGTGAGAGAATTTAATCAGATCAGAGGGTGTTGAATGGGGACCTCACCACCATCCTACCTTTGCCCTGCTTAAGCCAGGGCTGGATGCCCTGCAGATGGCCTTCCTGTCCCATCCACCAATTAACGTCTGCAAGGGCATTCATTTTCACCATCCTACAATGACTGACACTCAACCAGTGATGGGCGGGATAGTCTCCACGAGGGAATCCAAAAAAGCATATCGTCAAGTTTACTTATGGGTTCACAGATTTATGCTTCACAATGGTCCTGTGAAACATCCTAAGATGTTTTACTGAGATCACGATATAAATACAATTAATTAGTTATTTTTATTTAGTTATGCAATGCTTAACCTAGACATGTTTGATGTGGATATCCAAAATGGAAAGCATTTGAACCCCTGAAGCTCAGGTGGGTTTGGAAGGCTGGGAGGTACTTGGTGGAGCAGTATTTACAAAGCTGAACCATCACCTAGATGTTTGATCTGTCTAGGACTTCCTGGGTGATTATTCAGCTATGTAAATCATTTCTCTTCCAAATCTCTGACCCAAATTAAATCTCAGAAACCGCTGTACAGTATCCTGGGGAGGTGGAGAATCACCCATTGGAAGTTTTAACTTCCTGGGCAATTCCCACAGAGTCAGCACACAACTTGGAGAAGGGTCCAAATGTGTAACTTTGTAGACATGTCCAGTTTCCAAATATCCAGAGATCAGAAAATGAAGGCCTATATTCAGCTTTAGATTCTCTACAGATTTTGCAGACACTTTGTTACAAACCACTGTCAGCAGTGTTTAGACAGCATTAAACTAACACCGTGCCTCACACCAAAAGCATATGCTCATTCATAGAAGGATACATATCCGAACTGTTTTCGCTTGACAGCTGTTGACTTCTTTATCATGCATTTCAAAAGTTTGCAATCATTCCTTTCGTTTTGCTTTATTCCGAATCTTAACTGGTGCAGGTCAAGAGGAAATAAAAATTCCAGCAAGGAAAAAGGAATAATCACAGTAGAATGTCCCTCCTGTGTATTCTAATGCTCTCTATCACTTCAGCTTGAGAAACAAGAACCCTGCAAGTAAAGAAGCAATTCTTTAAATAAAAATATTCTGCCATTAATATAGTGTTTTATTTGTCTTTCCTACCTGTCTGATTCTGATATATTATGAACATTCCAAAGGACACAAGAGTCATCTATGACGAGTATAAATGGCCACACACACTGTCGTTTGACCCCCATCTCTTCTTGGCGGTTTCGTTCTAATTCCAAATTGTGATATGAAAGTTCTTTGATTAGAAAGTGGGCAGCACCTAAAGAGGTTAGAAGTTAAACAATGAATTAGACAATTTGCTAATCCAATGTCCTGGATATTTGCAGAGAAAGTACGTTTAAGATTGCTACTGGTTCAAACCATTACATTACGTGAAATATAAGTAATGATTAGCCATCATTTAAAAATTGTAGCTGTATTCTTCTCTCATTTCAAAGTCATAGAATATGTTTACTGTTAAGTCATCTGCATTTGATTAATGTTTCTCTTCGACATAAAAAAGGGCACTGCCTTTATTTAACTGGGGGTGGGAGAAGAGGAGAAATAGGACAGGGTTCAATTAGTACAAATCTTAGGCAAGTGGACTTTCATGTTTATCTCCCAAAAGAACCATTTTAAGCTTCAGTTGGAATAAGACATTTTTGGGACTGAACTGGCAGCCAGCCTGGAGGTAGGTATGGCCAGAAATAAGCCCTGCATCCAGTATAGCCAATCAGGCTCATAAACAACCTAACTTTTCAGTTGCTTTACGCTTTCCCACACCAAAATGGACCAATTTAGGTGCAGAAACGACCATGGTAGCCTGACTGCTAAATCTATTTCTTATCAAAGATTTTAAAAAGATAGAGGGAGAATGTCTATGACCTGAAATTCCCTTTCTTTCACTTACCTGCCATCACAGGCTGTTGCTCCGTTCAAGCTGGATGGATTTTGATAGGTCCTCCAGCTTTGAGAGCTCACCCATCATTGTTAATAGAATGGAAACCTGTTAAATCACAGGAACACTCCTACGTAAGTTCCAATGTGACTGCCTCATCCCAGCCTTACCCAACCCCTCCAGGGGTGGATTCAGGACCCAGAAACAGTTCTGAACTTGGTTTTGCATCCCTGGAGGAAAATGCCAGTTCTTGGAGTGAGATTAAGTTTCCCTCAACTTGTGCTCCAATACTGGTTTGGTCCTGAAACATTTTACAAAGTCCTCCTTCCTGACCTAACAGACAAACCATCCCAGTGTGTCTTCACAGAGTTGGCTGTGGAATTCAAAGACTCAATCTCACTAATTCCTGTGGTCTTATCTTTGGACGTCTATTTTCCATTACTTAGTTTGCCTCATGCCTTCTGGAATGGTCCAAGCTAAACTCCATAATTTCTTGAAATTGTGCAGTTAGGAAAATATCAAAAGCACAAATGATCTATGGAGATGGTCCCAACATCACAACAAAATACAATGCTGCATGCAAATTGAAACCAATCATGAAAAAGTAAATAATTTTCAGGGTCCGCCCAGAGCACTTAGATGGGGGAGCTTTACTGGGTGGGAGGCAATAATTCAGTTTCTCTAAGGCGAGTTGAAGTGTGCTATTAAATTCTGAACACTTTTCAAGTTACTTTATTGAATGCTCACTAATGGTCCAGCCCAGTGGAATTACATTCACCAGCGCAATCCTGTTAGCCAAAAACTGGGAAACCAATGTGTTTACCCAATTACACATATATATGAGGAACGTGCCTGGTTGACTTCTTCCTCCAAATTCCAGTGAGTACACAATTTTTAAGTTGCTTGGTTCCTTGAAAACCACGGTGTTTCTTTATAAAAACACTTAGTGTTAGGAGTGAGCCTCTCCATGATAATCATGGGAAGTCTCGGACATAATCAGCCTGGCTTGTTGCTGTTAAACACTTGCAGTTTTAGGGATGAAGCCTGACCAATCCAACAAGCCTGCCCAAGCAAGGCAGTCACACTGGCCAATGCTAACAAGCCTGACTGGGACAGGCAAGCAGGACTGAACTCAAAATGGGCTGAATTCTAAAAGTAATCTTTGGTGGTTGTGTCCTTGTCCCCGCTTTTGGTGAAAAGCTGAGAGATGTGTATGTTCTCCTAGTTGTGACACAAGGTCAGTCACCTGATGGTGCATGAACCACGGTGTTTTAGACTCCTTTTATGTGTTAAGAATGAATTCTGGAAAATGTGTGAGAGGCAGTACCACTGTTGGGCTAGTTGTGCTGTACTGGTACTAATGAGGTGACAGAAAATGGTTGCATGAAGCATCTAATAGGAATATCTGGCATCAAAACTCTGACAAAACTCTTCAGTGGCAACCTTACATTCATAGAAGCATGAAGGACTAAATTGGCAATGATACATACCCTGGGCGAGTTCACCAAATCACTCATCATCTGGCAGCTCTGGGGCTAGGCTCTCTTAAGCCATTCTTGGATAACTTCATCAGTTCGGATGGCCTCTTGTTGCCATCCATAGAGAGAGAAAAATAATGTCTACTTTCCCAGAAAGCCTTTTGGAGTACCTCTAGGGAAGCATCGCTACAGTGTAGCACCATTTTTTCCTCCAGTCTCTGCCACCTCCAGGCATGGGTGGGGTGATGAGCAGAGGTTGAGTGATGCTCCTGGCCTGCAGAGAATGAAGGGCTGTCTGGACAACTCCTAAATATGGTGCCCAGACGTCAGAGCTCAGTAGGGCCTGGCAACCTTCAGAGCTTCCTGTCCACAAAATTTAGTATTTTACCTCAGCGTGCATATGTAATGAGCTCAGAAATGCATAATCTTGCAAGAAAACACAATTTGCTCAAAGCGGAAGTTCCTCCCAAGTTTACAACGGCCCTGCACTCAGTCTCAAAAAAGAGAATTCCACCCGGTAAACTCTCTTCTAACACAGAACAGCAAGGAGACTTTGCTATTATCAGTAAACAAACCAAAAAGTAGAAGAGATTCATATAGTTTTCACTAGGAGAAAGCTTTTAAAGGAGTGCTCCTCCTACTATAATTAAAAACAGGAAGTGCTGGAGAAACTCAGTGTGTCTGGCAGTATCTGTGGAGAAAGAAACAGAGTTTCAAGGCCAGTATGACTGCCCCTACAATTCTGTCTTATTCTGACAATGAACCAACCTGGAGCAGACAAAAAATAGACAAATGAGGAACCCTATGATTTACGAGCCGAATGCAAAAACATCATTATATCTTCATGCTTTGACATCTTGTATCATGTTTTTGTTTTATTGAAAAGATCTCATTAGTGAATAAAAATCACATAACTGTGCATTCATATATTGTCTAATTTGATAGTTAAAAGTCAAACAACAGAAATAAAAATTAACTGGCATGAAAACAGGCTGAATCACTCCCATGAACCACATGCCAATTTCAAAATACAATGTCACAACTACTTGATGAGAAAGACTTATGGACTCTGCAGCTGTGAAAATTAAACTACTTCAAAACATTTACAAATCATGTTACACAACCTGTTATCCAGTAAACTTATGAAACACTTACTCGTTACTACAGCATAGCCCGAAAAAATAAGGCAAGGTTTACTTACCCACCCCTGCATCATTGAACATGCCAGGTAGTACCAACATAATGTGGTTGGGCCAATATTTTCGATAGAGAGGCATTTCAAACTCTTTGACCACAAGGATATGAAGGTGGTTTGCACCCTCTATGGCATGGTAGAGGTTCAGAAGGCCATGCTCGTGTCTCCCAGTAGTAGGTGTAAAGATAGGACTCTTCACTGACTTGGGATTCTGCCAAAACAAATTAAGGAAAAGCAATGCTAACTAAAAATATTTCTGCCAAATAATCGACCTCTTTTTCACATAACTAGAACAATCAAAGAGTCTATGCATTATATAAATTTCCCAACATTATGCATTTGAAATTGTCAAGTTACTCCTATTTATGAACATGATTTATAAGCAAAATAGTAACTTTTCTGACATAATAATCCCGCATATACTTTGCTCCAAAATCTAGAAGGCAGGAGTTCTTTAGTAGTCAGATAACCCTCAGGAAACGGTTTCCCTCAGATGCTGCCAAATTTAGCATCAAGAACTAATTTGCATTTGCTATATCAATTTCCAGGCTGCTGACAAGATAGACCTTTGCACCAACTTGTAGACAAGGAGGCAAAAGGAGCCAAGGGCTGGGGGCAAATGAGTCACTGAGGCCAGGGATACTTGAAGTTTCTATCATGGGAAACTGGAGATGAGGTTTTGTTAGGATGGGAATCCAGTCAGGGGAGTCCAGCACGTGGAATGATTGGAAGCTGCAGCCAGGGAGCACAGAGGAGGACAGGAAGGATTTTTGAGGGGTGGGGGTGGTCAAAGGGAGATCACAATGGTCAGCCAAGATGTTTGTGTTTTGCTGATACATTCTATTTTATTAAAAAAAGTAAAACCAGCCTGACTCCAGGTTAAAACATAGACAGATTCTAAACAAGGCTTCACACCTAAAATGCATTGTCTGACTTGAGATGCCATCTCTCAGACACACTGATAAAACCTTTAATTATTTCGGGGTAATGACTTGAAAGAAATTCTGGGATTTGCTTTTTAATCAGTAGAAACCTGCATCTCCTTTCTAACTGATGAAAGATTCAACAGGAGGCAGTCAGCAAGTCATTTTTAGGGTTGTTACCTTTCTGCTTATATTTCTGTGTCGGTATACCTCCACTTACACATTGCACCTGAAGAGGGAGCAGAGCTTAGAAAGCTAGTGGTTTCAAATAAACCTGTTGGACTATAAACTGGTGTCATGAGATTTTTGACCTTGTCCATTCCAGTCCAACACCAACACCGCCACATCATGGGTGTGATAATACAAGGTCAGTTGTTAAGGGGTGGCAAGCAGACAACTTGGATTGCATCGGCCTCCCTAACCATAATCTCCTCCTTTGGCATCTCCAGGAGAATCCCTCCTCTTCCAAAATCTAATCATTTCTGCTCCTAATATTACCTGATTTTTTTGTTAATTGACAGGATAAGATACCACCTTTATTAAAATGCATTGACTACTTGAGAGCCATTATTTATTTATCTTCAGCATTTAAAGCGATTGGGACAACAACAGTGTGTGCTTCAAGTCATAAAAGTCATTCTTCAGAACCACGCACTAAAATATTCAATAGTAGTTCTTATAAAGATAAAGCTTGAAAATAAATGACAGTAATGCAATTACAAGCTAAAATCTGTACTGCATTACAATAATCCTGCATAAGGCTCAGGTGTTGGTTAGCTCAGTTGGTTGGATGGCTGGTTTGTGATGCAGAGTGATACTAATAGAATGGGTTCAATTCCCATACTGGCTAAGGGTCACCATGAGGGCCCTTCCATCTCAACCTTGCCCTCGCCTGAACTGTAGTGACGCTCAGGTTATTCTCACCACCAGTCATTTTTTTTTAAATGAGAGCGGCTTCTGGTCCCCATAAATTATTGTGACTTTCACTTTCTTCATGCATAAAGCTATACTTGAACAGTTAACAATTTACATGCTCCCTAACTTCAAAAGAACATGGATGCATTGGACAGAATTTCAAGTAGAATGACAAAAATGATTCTACAGCTTCAGCACTGACTTCGCATACTCAACTGGTCTTCACAAAGAAAACACAGTAAGAGAATACACCTTAATAATTTAAAATAATGAAAAAAAGAACTAGTATAAGTAGAATGTCAAGGCAAGATGCCATGTTAATCTTACTTTTGGGTGGTTTCTTTTAAATCTTGTTCAAACTCCCACTAAGAATTCAAAAGAGTTCTGCTCAGCCCAAATTTTTCAAACTAAACACGATAACAGATCATATGGAACAGTGATTACACTTCAATATTATTCAATACCAAAACTACATTAGCCCAAAGGGGCTCCAACAATTGCTGACCTTATCTGTGACAAGAGGCAGACGCATACTTTCCAGGTGTTTACCCTGTTGGCTGAAGACAAAATGCTGCTCTTTTGACTTCGGGATAATAAAGTGAAGCTGCACTTCCTCTCCCAACATGGAAGAAGAAAATGTAAATGCATGCAGTGTAGAATCAGAAACCTGAAACATAATTAGATGATAGATTCAATCTCTCCTCCAATGAAGCTTTGTACTTATATGTATAAAACTGGTAATACAAGATATAATTTCACTGAAATCTTATACAGACACACTTTTTTGTATCATTAGCGCTGAATAATATAAAGTGAGCTACAACTTAGAAAATGATGAAAAAGAAATATTAGAGATAAAAGTAATTTTGAAAATCACAGAAGTAAATGGTGCAGTTAAAAGTAGAAGAAAGAGAATACACAGAGATGTCATAGGTAGAAAAGCAAGTAAGATATTAAATGATGAACTATAGGGGTAGTCTAATGGCAAGTGGATGCACATCATAGCTCAATGAACTTATTAAGTTAACACTGTAAGCATAAACTTTACAATGGATTGTTAGTAAGTTTAAAAGGAGTGAACATGAAGATCAAGAAAGATTGGCCATCCATAACCATAAAGGTTAGAAATGACTGCAGGGAACATCTGCTAGTTGGTGAGAAAAGACTGAAAATTATGGCTGTCTATAAAGTACTTTACAGGAAATTGTACAGTCAAGTGAGCAACACTGTTGTTGTGAAGTTTAGATTAACAGAGTGCTCCAACAAGAGGTTAGTTCAAAAGGAATGTTGAGATACCAAAATAGTTGGTCAAGTTGTTCTAATTTGTACAGCAATCTGTGGTAGCTGTCAGATGGAGAATTGAGGCAGTGCTGCATCAGTCTGTACAGCAAATTAATGGTAATTCTTATCCACATTTTACAACACCTTAATAATCATACCAGTGCTAAGAATGTGCTTTTAAAATCACATGTGATTTAGGCCATATTTATGATAGGCAAGATGTTAAGGACTTCATCCACGAAGAGAATTGAATGTTGACATAATCTGGACTACTCTTGCACGTTCCCTAAAAGATGGTTATGCAGTGAAATTGGTAAAGTTGTACAACCAGCAGGTGAATCTTAATGACAGGCAATTAGTATGTTCATTGACTTAAAAGAGGGAAGAAAATATGCGTATTTTACTTGGGTTTTTATTTCGTTTACATTAAATAAAACAAGGAAAATAATTTGTGGTACAATGGAGAAACAATCAAAGGTCTATGAAGCATGCAGATAACTAGACTACAAGATTTAAAGAAACTAAATACCCAAATCCAGTTCTGACCTGCATGGCTGGGTTGAAGTCTGTGTAATGATGGCAGTGTTCACAGTGGTGGAAGGTGTTATATGCAGCATACTTGGTTAGCATGATTGAGACAGTCTCTCGTTTTGCTGATTCTTCAGTAGGACTGCATTCTTTACCACTTTCTGGAAAATATGGAACGTCTCATTATCAACTATAACATACAAAAAAAAAACTGATTCATAAATATATGAAACCAAGAAGCTTGTAAATATTTAGATCTCTTGATGAATAGATGTAGCACCACTATTTTGACCGAAGTAAAATGAAATGAGATGAAGCATTAAGCACAAAGGAGGTAAAATTCATCTGTGGACCATTTTATTGCAAGAGGCGATAGACTATTTTGTATGAGTTAAAGACTTTGTTAAAATACCAATTAGGCATTTCACTCTCATGCTCTGTCCATTTGTTATACATAGTGTGCAGAGAACTCCATTAAACATACTAATTACAAGTAGTCACTTTGCTATTTTTAAAATAAAATATTCTTTGAGGGAACTGTATGCCAAAATAATTGATTATTTTGATTGAAATTTCTTGTCCGTGAATCCACTGGTACATGAAACCAGATGTGATTCTGGCAGTGTACAACAGTATTATGATGAAATGGAGACGTCCTGTGACTGAACTAAATTCAGGATGGCCTCATCATTACAGTCCTGTGGATACCAATTCGGTGACCCAATGCAGCTTGCTTGTTTGGACTTTATCAATTCTGCCCCTTGTCAAAGTCTACAGGTTGAAGTCCTAATTGAAGTATGAATGGAAGAGTGTGGGGTCATGAAAGTGGCCAGGTAATGTTGTCCTATTATTCTGCACTCTTCAGAGGGTGGCAGCCAGTGTGATGGCAATGATGGTGGTTGTTTGGAGGTGGGGGGCAGGGGAGGCGGGTGGGGGGTGTTATGTCAACAGGGAAAAAAACATTTATGAGAGTTGGGATGTAAACTTGGCAAAGAACCAAGACTCTCTGAAAAGTTTTCTCTTTGTTGAAATAAGTATTCAGAAGGGAAAACATTGTTTGGTTGTCAGATTTACAAGCTTTTGTTCCCCATAAAACTATTTTGAAATACCTCAATAATTATTTATATAAGGCAGAGGTGCTAACTGCTCATAGCTTCTGTTATTAATACTTCAATGACCTGGCTGATTGACACTTTTATTAGGTGTACCGTCAGCAGTTGTTTTAAAGAAAATTATGAACAGATTTTTTAATCATTCCACATATGCCATTTTTACTGCAGAGATCAATGGATCTGCACTGGGTGCATACTGAGTCAATGAACGTGGAAGTGCCATGACTTGGCAATTGGCCTCTAAGGGACCATGAGAGTGGGTATGGTGTAAAGGGTGGCATGAGGCAGATCTTCTTAACTTCTGCTGCATTAAGTTTTGAAATCAAAACTATGGTTCCGAACTCCTCAGAGGGACCATAAGAATAACAAGTTCTTGACAGGATTCAGCTTCAAAAAATTGCAGCAGATGAAAAGATACCTGCCTCTGTTGTGTTATGTTTCACAGTCAATATACCTTTAAGAGATATAACCATAATATGAACACTGCATCATAACACATAACTTGAAGGTATGAAGATCTCAAACTTCATCTTAATTTGGATCATTTGAAGCATGACACACTATGTGAGAATGCTGTTCTGTGTTACATCAAAGCTTAAATATAACCCAAACAGTAGATGTGCCTGTGAAGATAATATTTTGACAAAATCATCGCTGTTATAAAAGTCTGTTCTTCAATTTCCACTCTTAGTTTCTTATATTTCAAGGGATGATATAAGCATAACTGCATTAGGAAGCAAAACCTACATCAATCCCCATAATGCAGATGCTCAGTTTGCTGATTAAAAACTTGGGGATGTTGAGAGGAGCATTGGAAATCTCAAAGTCAGGACCCATCTGCCATCTTTACTGATCCACAGCATCTCTGCCATTTCACAGAAGCCTGGCCCTTAATTAGGATATACGGCTGAATTTCTGAGGCAGGCTCAGTACTGTCCCATAATACACACATTCTTTCAATGTGGGGTGACCAAAGTTATTTATGCTGATTGCACAATTGGAAAACAGCTGACAGAAAAATAAAGAGCAGAATCCTAGTGAAAGTAAAAGAGAGTACACTGGAGAAACTCAGCAGGTCTGGTAGCATCTGTAGACAGAAAAACAGAGTTAGCATTTTAAGTTCTGATGCAGAGTCTCTGGACTCGAAACATTAACTGTTTTTCTCTCTACAGATGCTGCCAGACCTGTTGTGTTCCTCCAGCATTTTCTGTTTTTGTTTTAGATTTCCAGATCCATAGTTTAATGTATTTATCATCCTGGTGCAAGTGGGCAGTTGTGTGACTGAACCACATAAAATCCAAACACAATTTACCTGCTAACACAATGTATACATATTAACCTGGCAGTATTAAAATCAAGGCAGCAAAACAGCAACTAATGTACTAAAATTTCAAAATGTTCGCATGACATGAAATTTGGAACTGGAATAAACAGTCAGGAAGGTGGCAACAGACTTCAAGACAACATGGAATGCTCTGAAAGAGGGCAAATAAAATTCAAAATAGAAGAAAAGGGATACATTTTAGTAGGAAGAGTGAGAAGATACATACTAAATTGTACAAAGTTAAAAGGGCATAATGACATAAAGTCCTGAGGGTGTTTGTACATGAATTTTTTAAAGTAGCATAAAAGGTTCAAAAGACAGTTAAGAGGTTATATGGGATATTTTAATATTTGTTCACAAAATGTAGGCATTGCTGGCACAGCCTGCACTTATCACCCAGAAATGGTGTTGGCGAGCTGCCTACTTGAACCGCTGCACTTGTTGGAGAGTAGGTACACACACTCAGCTGTTAGGAAAGGAATTGCAAGATTTTATCCCAGCGGCACTGAGAGAAAGTTTCAAGTCAGGATGGTATATGGCTTGGAGGGGAACTTGCAGGTGGTGGTTTCGCAATACATCTGCTGCTCTGGTCTTTCTAGATGGTGGAGATTGCAAGTTTGGAAGGTGCTGTTAAAGGAGCTTTGGTGAGCTACTTCAGTACATCTTGTAGATGGTATACACTGCTGCCGCTGTGCACTGGTAATGGAGGGAGCGAACTACTAAAGTATTCCAAGACAAGGAATTATAGTTTCTTGCATGGATTGGAAGAAACTAGGATCGTTCTCCTTTCAGCAGTGATGGTAAAGAAATAAAATGGAGGGAAACAATCATGAACAGTTTAGACATTGTAAATAATCAATAGCTTTTTCTTATGGCTGCAAGGTTGATAAAGAGGGCACAGATTTAAGTAATTGGCCAAGGAGCTAGAGGTGGCACGACATTTTCGAAGCAGTTAGAAGTTGGAATGTGTGATTGAGCAGTGGAAACAGATTCAATAAGTCTTCAAAAAGAAATTAGATAGATGCCTGTAGGAGAAAGAAATGCAGGATATGGGAAAAAAACAGAGAAGTTGATGAATCGTAAAGTTCTTTGGAAGAGCTAGCACTGATTTGATTGGTCTAATAGTGTCCTTCTGTATTGTACCATTTTACGATTCCACGAATTTCATCAGTGAAGACATTTCAAGAAGATAGAAATTAATTTTCATTCCTATTTTGTACACCCCCAATGGATGCATTATTTCAAGCAGTTGTTCTATTATGTTAAAAAAAAACCTGAACTGACCTAGTTTAATCTTTGGCAGCTTGTCGGAGTACACAGAACTTATGTGGCGATATTTTGGATCGTGTACTGTGAGGTCAAAGATCATTTTGCTGAAGAGTTCAATGTCAGGCCACTGTGTATTGATTCCCTGTGCATGCTCATTTGTCTCTTTCATTTCTGAAACATAAAAAAAGTTCATAGTTTAGTTTCAAACTTATTGTACTATCAAGTCATGCATTTAATAAATTGTGTGGAGTTAACAAATAACTTTACATTAATCTCAGGGAGTACTGAAAGTACTCAACTATCTGAGATAATGCAGTGCTCATGTAATGTGGCCACCATGTGTACAAATATAGTCAATGACATCGTCTGGCTGCAACAGTCACAGACTGCACATGCGCCATTTACATCATCACTTTCTGTGCACAGTGATGTCCTCATCAGTGCATGAGCTACTGATGAGGGATCAGGGAGGTAAGGAGGAGGCTTGGCACCAGCTTGAGAAGGACAAAGTCTGGGAGTGGCAATATGGGTGGGAGTGTGGGAAGTCCAGGTACCAGGAGTCGGGTGAGGTTGAAGCATCTGCCCAATCTACCTGCTGCCTACCTCACCACCTGCCTGTAAGGCTATGCCTGCTGTACCTGTTTCCTCCTCCTCCCACCAACCTCCCTCCAACATAAAACAAGAACAGTGGGCGCTGGAGATCTAAAACAAATAAAAGCAGAAATTGATGGAGAAACTCAGCAGGGTTGTGCAGGGAAAACAGAGTTAAAGTTTTGAGTCCAGTGACTCTTCTTCAGAACTCCTCTCTCTAACCCCCTGTTCACCCTGAAGGGACATACTCACATTAGTCACATCTCTGGCAGCACTATTTCCAACTGCCACTTCCCTGACATTGGGCTGTGATAGAACATAAGCTCGCTGTTTGTGCCACTTACTTGTGACTTACACAATAAACGTGACCCCAAAAGAACAGCTGCCAATTATCCTGCTTCTTGGTCTTTGAACCCTATGTTACTAAAATGCTTTTAGATTTTATACTTTGAAAACAAGTGATACACACCATTGAGATCAGGAGACTTAGTGATTGAGCCTATGCTGAACCTTCTTGTCATTCTGATTCAATTTCACAATAAAGCAATCGCATGAACTTAAGGAGGAGGAATGTTTTTAAAATGCTTGCATGACATTCTGGTTTTAGACACTTCTACACACTAAAGTAATAATAAAAACCAGAACTATTTTAGATAATAGGAAATTGTACTTGTTAAATATGATGTATTATATTAACATTTCATATCAACGCAATTCTGAGAAACGACCAATAATTATAAGTAGACTTATAAGTCTTCAACAAGCAGAAGAAAATTAGTATGTGTTACATTTATCAAAATATCAACAATACCTACCCTTATTAATTTCTTCTTCATTGTATACATCAACCTCTAGAAGTCTGATTAACATTCGAAAAAGAATCCTAAGGAACTGTAAGTATGCACCTGTCTTCCCAATCTGTAAGAAAATTCTAATTAGAGCTTTCTGAAGACTGAATGTTTGCACCATTTCTAACTCATAAAGCTGACAAAATGGTGGTACAGGCATTTTAAAAATGTGAACTTTCAATTTACATTGTGATTTTCTATTTATTTCTGTAGCCAAGTTGGTAAATATTGAGGAAGGGGAGATGCAGTTGAATTAAAGAGAAATAGGTATGTTACATTTTCAAAACTATCAATGAAATAAGCAGGGCACAGACAATGTTAAGCAAGGATAAGGCCATTTTCTTTGTAAATAACAGAGCAACAAAGAATCAGTAAACAATATAAACATTTATGATTCACCTAAACAATTGGGCCAGGATTTTACCAGCCTATAGGATGTGGGAAGGATGGTGCAAAGTCTATAAAACATAGTCCCTCATGTGACCCTGGGTATTTTATCAACGATGGGGCCTGATGTTGCCTGCCCCTTTGATAAGGAGGACTGTATCAGAAGTCAATGCGTCATCCCTAATTGAATGGCAAGCCTACAAGTGGACAGTTCCGATGTTGTCTGTGTTAATATCAGCAAGGTGGGCCAGCTGCTGGTAAGTGCAGGCTCAGGTGCCACCCCAACCTGGAGGTCCTGATATTCCCTGTAAAGCTAAAGCTTTGGAGTGATTTTTCTATAGGCTCTAAGTAATTGGTGACCACAAATCATAGAAGGGTGCAATATAGTCATATTGGTGCAGGTTCCAATTACAGATCTGGAAATGGGCGCATGTCTTCCCATGGTGGATAGCTGGTCCACTGTGAATACATGATGACCAGCCAGTTAATGCAATGGCAATGTAGAGTTTGGCCAATTAAGCTTGGGCACAGGTAGGAAGTCACTGAATCCCAGTCAGATTACAGTGTTGAAGGTCTCGGGGCAACTTTTAGGTGCCACCTAGCTAGATCTGCAGAACCTACAAGCCTGCTTCTTTTATGTGGCAGTCTGAGAGGAGTCCAACCCATTAACCAGACCTCTAGACTCAGTCAATACTGTCCTCACCTGTGATCGGCATCAATGTGCCTGTCTGAGGGCAGGAACAGGGTGCACCCACACACCCCACCTCACCACCCAGGAAGCCCCAATATCTGTCAGAGGCAGGTTCATGAGACGGTTGGGTGCCCATTCAGGTGAGACCCATTCAACACATTTGTCTCGCACAGAAAATGACATACAGCACCAGAGAACATGGAAAGACAGGTCCGGCGTGCATGACATTCATACCTGCAAAGTCGGAGGCAAAGGCGATAAAACTAGTCAGAGAGCAGGGCACCTGGGCAATTGTGCATGGTGAAACACGTATGCAGGGAGAAGACAGTGAGGAGGGTATTAGCATGGTGCAAACCACTGGCAATAAAGGAGATGTGTGCAGGGAAGGATTGTGAATAATGTGAACCTAATTCTTTGTGTTCTCCAATGGATGCTAGAGGGTCAGCCTGATCCATTGTCCATTACGTGTGTAGTCCAGGACTGAAAGGCTTTGAAGTTTCAGATTTTGCACTATTGTATCTTACAACAACACCTTCCACCAACACAGTTACAGTCAGTCAATTTCGTAGATACTGATCATGATTAGAATCAGGGTCATCATCTGGTGAGCACATCACAGAAATGCTGAGTTGTTAGTGGAGGCTGTGACAGCTGAGGGACCTGACATTTGGAGAACTGATGAAGATTAGGCCGATGCTGAACTCTATGCTAATAGCATGCTTCTGGTACTGACCACACAAGATCTCTTGGAGATGCAGTATTAGGCCAGGGAACAGCTGGTAGAGCTGCCAGAGACATTGTGTAAACATGCACAAATAATGCAGGGAGTCACGGGTTCTGCCAAATTTCATGTGGGTGAGCACTTTGCTTCCTCTATGAAGAGTTGGTGATGTCACAGAGATCCAGATTCAGCGGACCAATCAGAGGCTGCTGCATATGGTAATCAGTGAGATGCCTCAATCGCATATTGAGATGGAGGAAGAGCTCCAGCTACTTCTCTTGCAGTCCTCTTCTGAATGTCACATGAGGGTAGGCAGCTGCTCCACAGCTTTCAATATCTGAGATCTAAGAGGATGAACCTGCATCCTTGCCACAGTTCCTAAGCAAACCTGGGGTCTTCAAGCCTCAGGCAACCAAAGTCATCTCCATTGGTCACCACATACAACAAACAGGCCCCACTTCAGTTGCTTCGTGTCACATGAGATAGAGAAGACCAGATATCTGTTTCTCAAAATGACATTTTGGCTATATTATTTTGCACTAGGTTTGATGGAAAGTAAAAATGAAATGCTGCAATTGGCCAAAATGATCCACCACAGTGAAAGTTTCTAACCCAGCTGACATTTCTCCTCTTCTCCTTCCCCTAATTATCAAACTTTCATTCCAGAGAGGCAAAGGCAAATCTGCCACCTCCAAAGGCAATTGTGGAAGTCGGTAAACGCCAAGTGCCACCTCAGTTCTCTGCAACTTAATTGTTTTAATGGATGTTAGGATCACTTCCCCTTAATGCTCCAGAAACTCTTGTGCCACATCCATTCCACTCATGATCTTCAATGCTTCTTGCACGTGTATCTCCACATCCTTCATGCCCACTAAGTGAGTATACATTGTAAAATCAATGAGACGTATAACAAAAACAAATCTTGAAATGTTCTTAAAATAACGTCAATTCAGAAATCTTTTATAGACTCTTACAAGCCATAAAAGTCAATCAAATTGAGCCACTATGTTTTGATAAAAGTAAATTCTTCTTATTTCACATCTCTCAAGCATGACCATATAAATATGCAGACATTTAAAGGAAGTTCAAAAAAAAGTAGCTTATTACAACCTCATAAAGAGATCAATCAATCAAAGCAAACATTCCACTTTCACCATACCCAGGGCTGAACTAATCCATTAGTGAGTCTTGAAGCTCATTCAAACATTCATAAGGAAGTCATATGTGAACTGTATCAACAGAAACAGAAGACCAGACATCTGTTTCTCGAGATGACATTTTTTGGCTATATACTTTTGTATTTTATTTGGTTGATAGTTAAAATGAAATGCTGCAATCGTCATCAAATCCCTACAGTGTGGAAACAGGCCCTTCGGCCCAACAAGTCTATACCAACCCTCAGAGCATCCTACTCAGACTAATCCCCCTATAACCCACCTAATCTATATGTCCCTCAACACAACGGGCAATTTAGCATGGCCAATCCACCTAGCCTGCACATCTTTGGACTGTGGGTGGAAACTGGAGCACCCGGAGGAAACCCACGCAGACACGGGGAGAATGTGCAAACTCCACAAAGACAGTCACCTGAGGGGGGAATCGAGTCCAGGTCCCTGGCGCTGTGAGGCAGCAGTGCTAACCACTGAGGCACCATGCCGCCCCATGGTATCATGGTAGGGAACAACAATATAAAAATATGTCTCATCAGCAGTGAGCATTTTTGGTTGACCTCACTAATGGAACATATAAATTAGGAGGCGGAGTAGGCCTTCTAGCCTCTTGATCTGTTCTGCAATTCAATAAGATCATGGATGATCTGATTGTGGCTTCAGCTCCACTTTCCTGTCTATCCCCAACACCATTCGACTCTCTTATTACTCAAGAATCTAGTGAAGGACAATATGTCACCATATACCCTATGTATAATTTTATTAAACAAATTTATCTTAACTTGATGAGCTTGAGCAGTTGAAATACTGAGAATTACCTGTGGTGGTCCCACCAACAATAACCGTCGCTGATGGAAATTTCCAGAACCTCCTTCACTTTTATTGCTAAAGTCTGCATGATGTTGCCTGGGAATTGTCCATTGTCTGTAGTAAAGTGATTGTTCTTCACTGCTCAAGTCTTTATGAAAGAGCGATCTCAGTGAGCTTGTCCAAGCCATATCAGCATGGGGCAACAAATTGGCGGAGCATAAATGTTCATTCTTTGAGGAGACAAGAAGATGATAGACGGGTTTTGATAAAATTACAGTGCGTTGAAAAATGAGGCGTGGAGTCCTGAAGTCTTTGTTGAGTAGGATAGATTGGCGAGAAGTCACAGAGGATATGGATGATTTTGAGACTGTGCTGCTTGCAGTTTCTTTCCCTTCTGAATCACATTCCTGTTTGCAGCCCTCGCTGCCTACACTGGTTGAGGTATGTGCTGAGGTGCCTTCATCACTAGAGCTGTTTACAATATTCTGAAAGCTCAAGGATGAAACTGGTTTTTGTGATGAGTCCAGAGCACTAGAGATGGTCACTCCATTCTCTGCTATGGAACCTATTGAAGGCAAACCAAACTTAATTTAAAAAAGTGACATCATATAGCGAAATTGCTCTACTCAAATTTCATATGAATACAATCAAAATACTTCATTTTCTTTGGATGGCTGGAGATGGTTCTGAAGAGGCCATTGCATTTTTCTACCCCTAATGAGTTTCTTCAGTCACCTTATCTCAATTACTCTCCATCTTAATTTTGTCTTTTATAATTTTATATCATTGAAAAAATGAAGACGAAGAAAAAGGAGAATATTTCAGAAGCAGCATCTTAAAATTTTGGTCAGAAGTAAAGTTTAAGAAGGATCTTCAAGGAGGAATGGAAAGTAAAGCAGTTTGTGGAGCAATGACAATAATCAGAGGCGTGGAGAACTCAGGTTGGAGCAAGATGTGGCTGCAGAAGAATATACAGATGTGGTAGTCAAAATTATGAAGGAATCTGAACACAAGAATGAGGCTTTAGAGGACTGGATACCAAAGTCATTCACATGGGCAGAGATGATAAGTGAGCCACACTTGATGTAGGTGGAAAATTTAAAAGAATGAGTCTGGAAGCCACAAATGCATTGCTGAGGCATTCAGTGCAAGATCCACACAAGGTAGAGACTGAGGTTGGCAATGTTACAGAGAGGGACATAAGTAAATTTTAGTGATGGAGTCACCATGAGGTCAGCAGATTGGATGGTGAGGTTGTGAATAATTTGGTTTAGCTGTATTCAGTGACTGAGGGCAAGATAAAATAGTAGCAAGGATGCTAACTTAGTGATGGAGGCCAATGATAATGAATTTGGTCTTCTCCATATTTAATCGGACGAAATGGTAGCTTAACCAGGAATACATGTCAGGGAGTTGGTCTGACAACTTAAAAGGAGAAAATGGGGCAGATAGTGAAGAGGCTGAACTCTTCAGCACACATTTAAAAGTTAACCTCTAGCCTGCAGACGATGTCACCAAATAGCAGTGTCAAGATGACTTGGAGGCGGTGGGGGTGGGAACAGCAGTGAGGAGTGAGGTTGGGCGGGAGCCGGAGGAAACAGTATGCAGGAAGGAAAATAAGCCATTGCTAGGGATGTTCTGATTGTGACTGGATTGACAAGAATAAAACTAAGTGAGACTGAATCCCACTGAGCTGAATTGTTGGAGAAAAACACAATAGATTAATCATGTCAATAGCTGCAGTGAGGTTGAGAAAGACAAGTAAGATTACTTGTGTGATTTAGGTTACTTTGGTGCTGTGATGGGAGTTGAATGTTGATTAGACATATTCAATTAGTGAATTGGGGGTAAGATGTGAATAGGTTTGGGAGACACCAGCATATTAAAGGATATTAGAAAAGAAACAGAAGTGATTGGGTGGTAGTTTTCACGATCAGAGGATATACAGTCGATATGTTTCGGGAGGGGTTAATGTGAAAGAAAAGAGGACAATTGTGTGAAGACTGGGGATTAAGTAAACTTGCGTGATCAGCAGTTTAGTGATAATGCAAACAAAGGAAAATAATTTGGGTCTCTGTCTTTTGGACAAAATCAGTTTGAAGAGGTGATAAAGAAAGTCAGGGTAGAAAATTGAATACAGACAGATTTGCATGTTCAACTCAAGAACAAAGGATATGTTTAGTAGAATGTTTGGTCTGGTGGATAAATGGAGAAGAGGGAAACTCGATCTCAGATGAGCTGATTGTTGCAATCTTAATTACAAAGTTATGTAAGAGGTTTTTGCACAATATAGATGAGGACAGAAGAAATGGGTGAGAACACTTGTCATTTATATAAATGATTTAGATGAGAATATAGAAAGCAGGATTAGTAAGTTTGCTGATGACATCAAGTTTGGTGGTATACTGAACAGCGAAGAAGGTTATCTAAGTTTACAAACAGACATTGATCAATTGGGTCAATTGGCTAAAGAGCGGCAAATGTGTTTAATTTGGTTAAATGAAAGATATTGCATTTCGGTAAAACAAACAAAAACAAGCTTATAAAGTTAAAAATCGGACCTTGGGTAGTGTTGTAGAACATAGAGACCTAGGAGTTCAGGTACATAATTCTTTGAAGTTTGCATCACATACAGATAGGATGGTTAAGAAGGCATTTAGCATGCTTACTCTCATTGCTCAGATGTATAGGAGTTGGGGCATTATGTTGAAGTTGTACAGGACGTTGGTGAAGCCTCTTTTGGAGTACTGTGTCAGTTCTGGTGTCCCTTGTTCAGAAGAGATTTACCAGGATGTTACTGGGAATGGAGAGTTTCAGTTATAGGCTGGGACTTCTTTCACTGGAGCATAGGAGGTTGAACACCATATAGAGTTTTATAAAATCATAAGGGGTACAGATAAGGTAAATGGCCGGTGTCTTTTCCCTAGGGCGGGGGATTTCAAGACTTGAAGGTATATTTTTAAGGTGAGAGGAGAAAAACTTAAAAATGACATGAGGGGCAATTTTATTTTATACAGAGAGTGATTTGTGTGTGGAACGAACTTCTAGAAGAAGTAGTGGATGCAGGTACATTTACATTTAAAAGACATTTGGATAAGAACATGAATAAGAAATGTTTGGAAGTGGATATGGGTCAAGCGCAGGCAGATTTGACTAGTTTATTTTGGGACTAAGGTCGGCATGGACTGGTTCGACTGAAGGGGATATTTCCATGCTATTTGACTCTATAACTCCAAGACAAAGTAGTGGAGAAAGAAGCCTTCTTACAATTTGAACTCTCTTGCTTTTCTTTTTCTCCTCCTCTGATATTGGGAAGATCTACTCATCAATTCATTGAGAAGCCAATGTCTACTTAGCTTGACAAATTGGAAGTAAAACAACTTAAATTTGAATACTCCAAATGTTCATTTTCCTTTAGCTTCAATGATCCTATTACCCTCAATGTCTTATTCTTATGATGTCTTGGAACTTTCCTTCCTTTGCTTTCTTGTCCTCACTACTATAAGTTTTATATATTAACATTCGTATATTTTATGTCACTGTATCTTGCATCTTCTTTTTTCTGTGCTTGCCCTGTGACCCCCATAACTCTTTGGTTATATCATTATCACCTTGATTTTAGTCTCTTTCCTATCATTTTCATTAATATCACTGGATCACTTTTAGTTTTCCATCCTTTTCCTCCACCTCTCTCTCTCTCTCTCTCTCTCTTTCCATCCTTTAGCAAGTCTTTCTTGAGTCCTGTATTTTTTTCCAAGATGTTTCTAATTTGTGTCTTCTATATAAAGAAATATTCACTGGAAAACAGAATAACTGATAAAAGCATTAATCATAGAAAAGTAAATCTTAAGAAAAGACATCAATAATAAATGTTAACGAAATACATCAACATATAGGTCTAGATTTTTACAAAAAAAATGTTCTCTCATCGCTTTATGAGAAAGGGTGTCCCAAGCTCATGTGGGCAAATGGTAGGACCCTGGCGTGGGGCGGGAGCTATTTTTAAATGAAGAGGTTTCCACCAGGACCACTGTCTACTTAAGGACGGTGAGCACTCACTCAGAGCTGCTGGCCCAATCAGAGGACCAGCAGCACCACCATTAGAGATGAAGGTTGTAGAGGGTGCAGGGAAAAGGTGAAGCATCTCCTTGGTCCAGGCAGGATGGACCTGGTGCCAGGAAGAGTTAACCCATCAGTGGTGAAGCCACAGGACTGGCCATTATCACTGGGTAATCCCTCCAGAGGCAGAAAGGAAGCAGTCTCTATATAACCGGGAATCACTTGAAGGCTTCACATCTCACTTGACAGCAGGGGGACTGAGCTAACGTGGGTAAAATCCCAGCATCATGGTAACATAGTTGTTACTTGGGCAACTAACTGAAATAATTAATGGCCTAACTCTTGTCAGTAGGTGTCCAATCCACTGCCATCTGTTATTCTTTCATTGGATGTGTGCATCACTAGAAAGGTCAAAGTTGTTTCCCACTCCTAACTGCATCTTGAACTGAGTGGCTTGCTGAGCCATTTCAGAGGACAGTTAACAGTCAAGCACATTGTCTGGAGATACATGTAGGCTAGATCTGATTAAGGAGGCAGATTTCCTTCTCTACGAGACATTAGTGAACCAAATGGGTCATTGTGACAGTCATTAATTGTTTTATGTTCACCTTTACTGAGAGTAGCTTTCAATTCCAGATTAATTGATCTTAAATAGCACCAGCTACTGTGGTAGAGTGTGAACCCATGTTCCCACAGCATTAGCAGATTACTAGTCCAATGACATTATCACACTCCAACATTTCTGGAAATATCCTAATGCCTTCTTAAACCATTTTACCACCCCTGCCATTTTCCATCTCGTCTCCAGGCATGTAAATTTCAAACTTTGAACCCTGGAAATGTATGGCAACATAATACAAGCCAAACCTGAAGATTCTGTAGACATGCTAATCTCAGAGCATACTAACCTGACGTTCCAGTGACTGCACTGCTGTTACTTTGTGGCCTCTCTAGATCAATCTGTAATTCATCAGATTCATTCTCACTGATAAGAACTTTCTCTTGTTCCTTCTCAGTTTGTTCCAGAACCGCAATGTTTTCTCTGACAGCGCTCTTAGAAATGTAGCCACAAGCAAGGCCTATTTCTTGTTCGAGGGTCGTACGTGTGAGGTAGCTGGAGTCAATTAACCTAAGATCACAATACTTCATGGACCTTAATAAAAAGATTGAAGTAAGGCACAAATTATCAAATAAGAACAATCTTTCTTGTCCTACATTGTTAGTGTGCATATTTTTTGAGGTTCCACATGAATAAAACAAGCTTAAAATATATGACTTGTGTGTGTGTGTGTGTGAGAGAGAGAGAGAGAGAGAGATAACAAATTTTAACTTAGCTAAAACGTTCTCGAAGGTGAAACAGTCTGCTGACTGTCACTGCTAAGACTGATCAATTGTGAGAGGTACCTGAATGCTGTAAGCTTCAAAGGAACTACAGCAAACATTTTATTAACCGGCACCTATGGGACTAGAAATGTGCCAGATAATCAACTATTACGGACAATCAATTATTACGTATAACCCCACCCTGTCCAAGCGAAACTTCAAGACATCCACATCCCTCAAAAAATCCCTCAAAAACTTTATGTAAAAACACCAACACAACTCCTAAAATAAATGTAAAAACACACTCATTGAAATATGATGCAGGGAGTATACACATCACTGTTATAGTTTATTTACAGCATAAATACTTGGACATTGCAGTATTTGAGGTTTTTTTGCCGGTTTACAAAGAGTATTGTTTGAATAAACTGCTAGTTAAAACAAAGTTTGCTGTAGATCTAAATAACACTTAATATCTTCTAAGATGGAAGAGGTATTAAGAAAAATTGGAGGTCAAAAATGTCACTGGAAGGTGTGTAAAAATTTTAACCCGATACAGTTTATTAAATTGACAATTGTTTCCACATGTACAGATTGCAAAGATAAATTATTAGGCTGGAATATTCGGATTCCCTCAACTATTTAACGATACTTTCCTATTTAACAACACCAGAAGTCAAACTGATTACATAATGAAATATGCATTGATAGTCTTACATTGCAATTATTAGACAATCATTAATGTTCGGGATATGTTGAAAGCTCTGCTTAAAAATTTGCATGAACATTTTAAACATGTTTTACCTTGGAAATGATTCTCCAAGTGGATCTTTACCAGTTAAGACGATAATACATGGGAGACCTTCCAAATCCTGATAGGTACGAGGGATCCATTCCTCTTGTTCACACCCTCTCCATACCTACAAGTCAAAGCAATGGGAAATTCAGAAGAAATCTCAACTCAGAGAATGATTAGAAAATGGAACTTGAGTAGTTGAAATGAAAAACATACATGCATTCAAGGGGAAGTCCTAAATGTCTGAATAAGAATGAAATAGGAAGCTATGCTGATGGGTTAGTTGAACAAGGGTGTGAGAAGGTTGATGTGAAACATAAACCCAGCTAGTGTCCCGACAGTTGAATGACCTGTGTTGTGCTGTAAATACTAACTATGCAAAGTAGCTTAAAGTAAAAATTATTTTCATAAGTAAAGACAAATATTCTTATCTCTTCTGTTAGCTTAACATGTGAAGCACTAAATGGCATAGCATGGAGCAATACTGACAATTCATATGACTACTGCTTCCAATTTGCATCAAAGACTTTGGTTCAGAAATGATTACAAGCCGACTAAGTATGCAGAAAGTACATAACTGGGAGGAACAGTTGGTTCTGAGGAAGCAGTTCAAAATTTTTAATACAAAATACATACATGAGCAGAATAACACTTAAAATTTCGTATGGACAAGTATAAAGTACTAGATACATATCAAATGCAAGAGTAACATATATTCCTTAAATATCTAGCTATTCCAAGTCAAGCTAGCTGAAGATGTAGTTTAGCTAAAGATGTCGTTGAAAAATTCTCTGATTCCTAATGACGCCAGCAATGAACAAGTCTAACTACCACAGACCAGAAGAAAACTGAATGTGGGAATCTATTGCTAAATTGCCCTATTCTGCTCAACCTAAGTTGTGAGAGTAGGATTGAGATTCAAATTAAAAAAATACAAATTCAGAATACCATGAAGCTCTTCACAAAAATAATGAACTTCTTGAATAGACTCCTAGACAGATAGTGAAGATGCAAGCTCTGGAATAATAAGCGCTGAATTTGATTGAATGCTTAATTACTATTACTACAGTAGAGAAACCTACCTCTTATTCTCTAACCTCTGTATGGGAGATCTTGACATCTTGATGTTGGGTTCTGATCAAAGCCTTGTGCTACTTTTGGTGACAGTAGAGTTAGTATCAATGGGAAAGTTTTAGAAAATATTGCTGCTTTTTGTGGGGTTTTAGTATCAGAGACGTCTATGTTTTTAGAGAAGTGCATGGAAGATAATAACTGAGATTTTTAAAAATGAATCAATTCTGCACGGTTATTCTGAATCAGTTATTTGAGTTTAATAGGAATGGGTAAACTGGGAAAACAAGAACTCAGCTAAGAGTTCGGATATAAGGGGGCGTTCATACAGAAGAAGCACTTTCAGTCAGGCGCATCCTACTCATTGGATGGACTGCAATCACTGGTCCTTACCTACACTGAACTCTCCCTGCTGGCTGCAAGCGTCACTCAGCTGATGGGTAAAATATAGTGAAGGGAGAAACAATGAACGTGACACCAGCTGGGCAGCTGTCTTCCTTGACTAAGGTAGCAGCCAGAGTGGAAGGATTCCAAGCCAACAAAATGACTATCAAGTTCTGGACCAAAGACATGCCACAGCATATTCCATGGATTATGGTTATTGATTTTCCATCTAGAGATAGAATACCAAAGGAAGGAGGGTTCCATCAAACCTGGGAAATTTGAATTGAAACCTATAATGAGGAAACCTCACTGTAAATGCCCTACTTTGCTGCGCCTCACAAGATGAGATCCAGTCTTTAAGGATGGCATCAGTGAGCACAAATTGCAATCCAATTAAAACCCCTTTGTACAAGTAAGTCATGTAGTGATGGGAAAGCAGTGAAAAAGTAAGTGTGAGATGACACTGGTAGCCACAGTTTCAACTCTGCAGACAGCTCAGGGTACGGATTGGTTTACTGGGAATCTGGAGACAGCATCATCACAGAGTGGCACTAAGTGACCAAGCTACCTTTTTGAGGGACAGTACTGCTTGCTCCTGAATTGGAGAGGGGCCTAGTGGACTCAGCAAATGCTGAACTACCCAACACCCAGTTTGCTTGCTGTGGCCAACAGGCATCTCTTACCACAGCAGAGATTTTCAGCATGTGCAGCATTTTGCTTTTATTATCCTGATCTCATTACTGATTCCATTCCAGAAGGACTTTAGGAACATATCAAAGCCACAGAACGAGATGCTTCCAATAAGGTCATTGGATTCAGCACCAAGATCAACAGGAAGTATTTTGATGAAAATGGTAAGGCAATTCAAGAGCTGCAAACATTAAAAAGTCAACTTGTCGGGTGCATCCAGCACAGATGGTCAGCCAAGAGAAAAAGACAGCTGACTGTCAAGCATACAGTGCTCTTCAACGGAAACTGAGGAACATCCACAATAATTAGTGGACTGCACTTGTGAAAAAAACTTTCGTGTGCAGTGAGTTTAGGTGGCAGCATGAAAATCTGTCTATGAATAGCATAAAATCAACAACTCCTGAGGGGTATAGATAGCAAGGCACTATTCACTGTGTACTTCAACATAGAGTCACACAGCATGGAAACAGACCTTTTGGTTCAACTAGTCCATGTCGAACATAATCTCAAACTAAACTAGTCCCACCTGCCTGCTCCAGGCCCATATCCTCCCAAACCTTTCCTATTCATGTACTTATCTAAGTATCTTTTAAATGTTGTAACTGTGCCCACATCCACCACTTCCTCAGGAAGTTCATTCCACACGTGAACCACCCTCTGTGTAAAAAATTTGCCCCCATGTCTTTTTTAAATCTCTCTCCTCTCACGTTAAATATATGTCACCTAGTCTTGAAATCCCCAATCCTATGGAAAAGATAACTACCATTAACCTTACCTATACCCCTCATTATTTTATAAACCTCTATAACGGCACCTCTCAACATCCTCTAGTGAAAAAAGTCCTAAAATATCCAGCCTTTCTTCATAACTCAAACCTTCTATACCCAGCAACTTCCTGGTAAATCTCTTCTGAACCGTATTGAGTTTAATGACATCTTTTTATGACAGGGCGACCAGAGCTGGACACACTGCTCCAGAAGATGCCTCACCAATTACCTGTGCAACCTCAACAGGACTTCCTAACTTCTATAATCAAAGAGGCGACAGAAGACGTTAAGAAGGATGTTTATATTCCCTCTGCACTGATGGAAGGCCTTTTCAATCTTAGGTATCTTTAGGTTCACACAGAAATAGACAATAAATCTGCCATGAACTTTTCCCAGACATGTAACAAATACCGATACACTACCCTGCAGCATCATAACTCTTTGGACTAAAAATCAGTTCAAAAAAATTGAAGCCCTACATCAGCCTGCCTTCCAAGAAGAATATTGACCACCTAGCATTGTCATCAAGAAAACTGAACTGAATGCCTTCAAACAACTTACCTACTTTGGAAGTATCATTCCATTTGATACCACCAAGGAAGCGGTCAAAAGACTTTCAAAAGCAAACAGTACATCTAACAGATGCCATTTAAACAAACGCGGAGCAACCCACAACCTCACAGGACAGACCAAGCCAAAGTCCTCTCCATTCTTTGGTAAGGCACTGAGTCATGGGTCATGTATAGCTGTTAAGTACACCTTCTGGAGTACTTACGTCAGTGCTGCCTCTAAAAGATCCACTGACAGGACAGCACTGCAAATATTAATGACTTGGAAACAGCCAACATCATCAGTGTTAAGACCACCTTCCTGCAAAATGAACTGTGTTGGGATGGTCACATAACCTGGATGGCAACAAGTGCCTGTTTAAGGTCATGTTATATCATGTTATATGATGACTGATAAGTGGAAAAGGAGTCCCATGCAAATGTTCCAAGGGCTCCCTGTAGAAGTCCTCCTCTATGTACTACGTTGAACATTGCCATTGGTCATGATGCCTGGAGATGCTATATTGGAAGTGCTACAAATACCTTTGAGACTGAGCAAAGAATCAGCATGAAACATAAAAGGAACAAGACAGATCCAATTATTTCCAGCAGCAACTATAATTCTATTTGCATTCGCTGTGGCAGAATATGCTGGTCATGGATAGGCCTGACTAACAGGCCTGCAACTGATGCATAGAACCTTCCTAAAATCTTCATTGGCAAAGAAATGTCAAGAGAAGAGAGAACAACAAGTTAGGTCATGCATTAAGAAATATTTCTTATGATAGAGAATGATTGCACTTTGGAACAAACCATAGAAACATTATGAATATGGCTCTGCTTGCTGGTTTTCAAATGGAACCAGTCAATTACTTGAGCCAAGAGGCGACTGCAGGTTACAGAAGATATGTCACAGAGTAGTGAGGATATCAGAGTTCATGAGATATATACTTGAGTACCATAGGGGATTAGAGATGAAGGGATGATGCAAGGCCCTACTTGTGTTTGTGCCTACCTCATTGCAGAGGAGATGAATTAAGTATAATCTGCAATTGCACAATTCATGCAGAGTTTTCAGAAGGAAGTTGCATCCACATTTGATGCTTGGATAAAAAGACTGACATTTCTAAAGTACTAGAAAGTTTGTTCTCTTTCTATCTTCAGAATTTCTTTTAAAAAAACCTACCTTCATTCGTGTAACAAAGTGCTTGGCAACACTGAGTTCTGTGGCAGGGTTGCCCAGAAGTACTTCAAATCGATACTGAAGACCAAGCTTATCTCGAACGTCTTGGAGTCGTTCCTTGGCAAGCATTGCTAGTTGCACAGATGGTACTCGTATCAAGAGCATGTGTCCACGTCCAATCTTGTCTTTCCCAGGACAGCTGATCAAATCATCCATAATACTCAGAGTCTCAGGAGTAGTGTGTTCTCTCAACAAATTCAGTGATGTTACAGCCATCATTGCTTCAGCATACTGCTGAATTAGCAGGTAGCATCGAATCACCATGCTGTGTAATCTGGGATACCTGAAAAAAAAAGCCATCATCAGAATTCCCAGAATTACTGTAATTAAGACACTTAAGATGAGTCCAATTTAAACCCAAGCAAGCAGGGGCTCAATTTACAAGGAAAATCCATAATGAACTAAAACAAATTTTTGAAACTTTTTTTGACCATTGCAACAGTTATTTTGTTTGGCTTCCTTGAAAATGTATCTGTTGCAGGTGCATTATTTTGGAGTTTAGTGAAGAAATTCCAGTGTGCATGCTCAAAACCTTGCTCTGCAACATAAAATACATTATTGTGGGGTGATTTTGCAGCATTGCATTGACATAACACAAAAAAGTCTATTTTCTGGCACTGTCTCCCTACACATTTCCACCAAACTGAGTTAAAAATTTAATTAAACCAAACATGGCCAAATGTAACAGTACATGAAATCGCAAATATTTAATTATTGGCTTGTGTCAATAACATAATAGGTGGAAATACTCTATTCAAAGAGGAGTAAGAGTAACTGTTCTTATAGCCAAATAGGAGGACAAATATAGCAGTTGCATGGAAAGCAAGAAATGGTTTCTAATTCGGTAATACAAGCATTTGCCAGAAATTTCCTGAGAGCTGCTGCTGCTCTATTTTCAGAACTTTGCACCAAAAAAACAACAGAAATCATGTTGGTGCCAAAAGTACGGAGGTATGTCAAAGGAAGTTCCTGGCCATTACTTAATCACAAATAGTCCTTTCTTCATTCAAAAAAGTCCTAAGATTTGAGCAACTTCAGCAAGGCAGCATTTAATGCCCATCCCAAGTTTCCCTGAAAGAATCATGACGCAACCTTGCAAGGTGAACTTCAGGTTATATCACTGGCCAACCAGCTAAGGGTGGGAGGTTTCCTGATCAGTGAATCAGGACTATCTGGCAGCTTTCTTGGCTATTTTTCTTTGATATTAGTCCACAAATGACCAGTTTTAAAGAACTGTATTTCAAAATCTGATACGGCAGATTCTGATCACATTACCTATATATCGATTTCATGTCCATTACTTTGCTACTTTATCTGCATTATTAATGAGTAAGATGGAAAATACCTTTACACAAAGGTAGTTATAAGGCTGGAAATTCCTAATGTACAGGTTCTGTTATTACTGGTGATTAGTAAGTAAACCTCTTGGAATTCACACAGGCCATTGGCCAGAATAATCCATTTTTATTGGCTTTCCCTGGTGACTGACTTTAGCAATCATGACAAGTTTACCTTCAGCTTTCATCTGAGATTATTCAGAAACTTGCAGTTCTTGAATAGCATAATAGTTTTTTTCTAAAAATCTTAGAAGTGCAATGGTGTGTAGCAATTCAGGATGCATGCAAAACTACTTTATTTTTGCCCTGATGAACATACAACCTGAGGCTGGCAAAGTGGAGGTATCCCACTTCAGGGAAAAAGGAAAAACCAAAATTTTACACAGTACCCAGTAGCTCCTGATAGCAAGCTCAAATAGGAACAAGTTCAGGAAGGGAAGGACTGGCAACAACCTGGGATGAGGCTGTGCATCCATTTTCTTATCAACAGTGGTTTCAAGAATACATCGACTAGAGGATAAAGATTAATTTATAATAAATTAAGATAACATTTTGTTCTACAAACTATTTACCTTTCCATTAAAGTATTCACCATTCTTTCAAAAGCCTCATCACATCTCAAGATAGGGCTCGTGATTCCCCATTGTAAGGATTTACTGTAATCAGACAAACCAAAATATACCATGTCCTCATTGTTGATCTCCTCCTGAGCAAAAATTAAGTGAAAAATACAACAGAATTAGACACAGGGAGTAACTTGGAAACTGAATCTGCCAGATCTTCCCAAAGGTTTGCCATGAGCTATACAATCCAAATAGCAGGTTTTACCACTGAAAAATGGAGAAATTAACCCTCATCCTTCAGAGTGCAAAATCTCAATACACGAAAATGCTAAAACATGTGTCTGGAAATTCTCTGCAGCTCACTAAAATAATGCTGGGTTGGTTTTGACATTTAAAAAAAAAACTTTTCAATTGTAATGAATAAAACAGACTTAGACATTTGGACTTCACTTCTTTTGACCTGAAAATAATCTGGAAAGGAGTGATTTTTGTGATTTTGCGATTTTATGGGGATTCCTGGTATCAGAAACGTGGCAAGATTTTTGGTGGGCAAAAAGCGCATAAGCTAGAAAAAGAACTATGAAATATTATGATTTAAGAATATGTTGTATTCTGTCGGTCTGATACAACTTTGCTTATTGGTATATTGGGATTGGATGCCTACACGAAAACATGAGATAGCAAGAACTGCAGATGCTGGAGTCAGAGATAACAAAGTGTGGAGCTGGAGGAACACAGCAGGCCAGGCAGCATCAGAGGAACAGGAAAGCTGACGTTTTGGGATGTCGAACACATTTTCCGCCGCCTCCCCGCCTACTTCTGTAACCACAAGTCTAACCCACCATCTACAGACCCCTTCTCCCACCTCCAACACATCCCACCCTCCTGGACACTACCCCAAGGCCTCCTACCCTCCCTCAACCTCTTCATCTCCAACTGCCGGGGTGACAGCGATCGCCTCAACCTCACCACTCCTCTCACTCACTCCAACCTCTCCCTCACAGAACATCCGCTCCCTCTACTCCAACCCTAACCTCACCATCAAATCCACAGATAAGGGAGGCGCAGTAGTGGTATAGCATACAGACCTTTACATAGCTGAGGCCAGGCGCCAACTCTCTGACACCTCCTCCTACCACCCCCTCAATCATGACCCCACCCCTGACCACCAAAACATCATCTCTCAAACCATTCACAACCTCATCACCTCAGGTGACCTCCTACCCACAGCCTCCAACCTCATCGTTCCCCAACCCCGCACCGCCCGTTTCGATCTCCTTCCCGAAATCCACAAATCTAACTGCCCTGGCTGACCCATTGTCTCTGCCTGCTCCTGTCCCACTGAACTCATCTCCACTTACCTTGACTCTGTCTTTCTCCCCCCAGTCCAGGAACTCCCCACCTATGTCCGGGACACCACCCA